GTAGTACTGAAATTCAACTAATTGATTCAAATCTAGATCATGAGAATGGCAGACTACACGAAATGGTACCTGTCATATAGTTCAGTGTCTTACATCTTAAATGACACTGAATAATCAAAACTTCACGAATAAAAGAAAATATTTCTAATGAATCAACAAACTTATTCAAGAACATACCGGTTGATATATACCCTGTTTCGGACGACTTGCCTCCCGACACTGAGATATTATAATACAAAGAAACCAGTAAATGGATAAAAAATAGAAAATATGCTTTTTCACAATGAAAAACACAACGAGTCGTTTCGCGAAGGTTATACTGCTTTTTTATCTAGATACTTCTCGTCGAAAGCTGCAAAAATGAAGTTGATAGATTGGGTTGTACTTCTGTGGTAATTTTTACGATCAACTTTTTTCACATTAGTTATTCTCCAACCTCGTAGTTATCAATCAAGCGCAATTTTCAGTGTGTAGGCATTACAACAAGAATCGTATTCATTAATGGAAAACATATTATAGAACTGCAATGAAACAACCGTTCTCTTCATATGCAGCAATTCACAACGTCGAACTAAATTGAAATATAATTATAGGGTAAATTAATCATTTTTGATATCTACGTATTCATGAATAATGTGAATCCGAAAAGGCTGTGTTTAAAATAGTACTTTTTTTAAATTTTTATTACATTTATTCCCTCTACTGAAAGGAGGGTCTTACGAAAAGTGAGTTAAATGCGTTCGTTCGTCCAATAGAAAAGCAGATGCATAAACTTAACTAACCGCAAAACAATATCCTGCAGGGATAGGGTTGGCCGTAGGTAACCGGGATCGGGGAACACGATGGCGTTGTCAGATTTTTGAAATTTTGCTTTTTCGTTTTTTTAGGGAGAGAGAGACTTTTTTTACAAAAAAAATAGTCTTTGTAAGGGTTGACCGAAGGTAATCGGGATCGCTGAAGATGATGGCGTTGCCAGTTTGTTGAAATTTTGTACTTCAAACAGGTTTATAATGGATTTGGAGCTGTTTAGATCGTCGCATTTTCTTGATAGGAATGCTTTGTAGGGAAATGTTTTGTGGGTACCATTCGATGATGTTTATAGTGTTATATGCATCGTATGGTTATGTGAGATATTATTACGAATAGGCTATAGGCATCGTGCGGTTGAATTGATTCTCAATTTGGGAGCGGCTAGCCGTGAGTGGCGCTCCGGAGGGGCGCCGACGAACGACTAGCCGCTCACCTGCACTGAGAGTTTGAAAGCTTTTTTCAAAATCTTCAGTTTATTCTTGATATGTCAACTTTTATTGCAGCACGAAAAGTTTATTTAAACTTAGCTCCTAGAATTCTAGATTAGCGCATCAACGAACGGACGCAAACTGATAAGTATTCGGGAATCATGTCTCATTCTTCTCTAAATTGTGATGAATTTATCGCATATGTAGATGTAACTGAATTGAATTAGTCCCACAACTGTTGTTTTCGTTTTTTTTGAAAATTCTCTTCGTTTTTATCTAATAATTATAGAGTGAGGTGAACCTTTCAATCAATAATGCAGTGTTTAAAAGGATCACATTCACCGCATATATGAGACAAAACAAGTGGGGGCGGCTAGTCGTGAGTGGCGCCCCTCTGGGGCACCGAAGAATGACTAGCCGCTCCCACTAGTTGAAAATCTGTTGTTATTATAGAACTACTTGCCTTGCAGACTTATAGAACGGTTACACGTTGTCTCGATCAGAAAAGTTGAAACAACTTTCGAAAATAGGACGTATTTTGATTTTCTTCCGACGACAGGTCGTGAAATAATTGCTCAACTCGTGTGAAACATTTGAAATTTATATTTGTTGTGATTATCTTAATAAGTTTAGGTTTTCCTGATTGCGAGTGGATTTGATTCAAAAGATGTAAATCTTAGATTTATCTATCTGTGAACGTGCACTCAAGAATGAATATATCCATTCTAGATGGGAAACGCACCGAAACAAAATGAACCCACATGAGGTTGAGCAAAAATTAGGACAAATCTGACCGAAATCGAGTTAGAAAAAGACACTTTGATGTAATCTCTGATCTACTCGTGCAGATTCATGTTAAATATCTAGTTCATAGACCAATTTGAGTTGTAACTTTACTAAAATGAAGTATTTCGATCATAGCTCTCATGAATGGGTCTTTTTCTTCACTCCGTTATTAAGTTGATCGAAATTTTTTGGGGGCGTAGCTTGAGCTGTACCAGATCGGATGCGCTTAGCTTCAGTATCGCCATATAATATTAGTAAGTAGTAATTAAATGCCGCTTTCTTGGTGATACTTCCAAGCAAGTTTTCTATTTATGCTCGGTTATCAATCGTGTTTTCCATGAAAATCATTTCGAAGCTATAAAATGTGAAGTCTCTCAGCTAAATAGTTTTGGATAGCTACGTTCCACATGACTAAATCCTTTCAGTAGAGAGTTGGCGACGCAAACGTCGCGTTACCTTGTGCATTATTGGAAATTTCTACATTATTCTTAATAATGCATTATAATGCATTGAAAATTTAGGGATTACTCTTCAATTTCGCCATTATTTGGAATAATGTATTAATAGGCATTGAAAAAGTAAAAAAATAATTAATTATAATTCATTAATCCATTTTTCTTTGAAATAATGGAAAATAATGGGTCATTTTTCCATTATTCATCCACTATCGGCTACATAGGTACTGTCGAATGAAGTTGGCGTTTAAACTTTCGCGGCATGATAATCATTATTTTAGATGAACCAAAACTTTGACACAACAATTTGAAACAGACAAGAAAATTCAGAGTATCTGGAAAAGCGCCCAACATCATAGAAACTATGATTTTGCTGAGTTTTGATAGAAGTCTACCAACGCCTCTAGAAGTCACTTGCAGATCTCGGCAGTGACTTTTTCATCATTTTAAACCTACTGGGTATTGTGGTAATTCTGTGATGAGAAAAACTTGCAAAAAAATCTGAAAAAGAACTTTCATATGTTAGCACAGTTCTAGGTACAATCCAGTTTCCTCCATGAAAACAAACAATTTTTACAATTTATGCATAAAATTTATTTCGAAGCGGAGCATCATACGAATCAAATGTAGTACCGCGGGGAGACTTGTAAAAATTTTGCAAAGTAGATTCAAATATTTTGAAAAGTGTGCTTATCAAGGTCTTGGAGGACAATGGTTCAGGTCTAATATTGTTTAAAGATACATCCTGATTGATGTTTTCAAACTGAACACAACTATGTTCATTTGAACTATCTTAATCGGTTCAAAAATTCAGGTTTTTGGTAAGCCTGAAGCTTTTTAGATTTTTCGAATCAATCAAAGCATCGAAATAACTTTTAAGAAACACATATTCTTGGTCTACAGAAAATTCACTATCAGATGATGTGTAAAAGGCAGAAAAGCAATTCGCTTGAAGTTCGCTTTGCGTGAATCTTAGATAAAGAAAAGATTGCCAGCAAAGGATTGACACCTCGACATGAAGTTTTATTTTGGATCGGAAACAATATCAACTAGTTTCACTCAGATCTTTATAACACTTCAGCAAATTTATTTGAAGATGTTATGAAACTGTCGAGAACAATAATGCATTATTTTCATATTTGAATAATACCTTGGTGAGTTTCAAATTACTTCACTAGGCCTACTATCTGTATGAAACAACGTACTCCATTTTCTATCATTAACTTCTTAATACTACACACAAATATTTTCATTTTCTTGTTGAAGTAAAACATAAGATAAGAAAATTCATAAAAAAAACGATGTCCATTTAGCTATGCGACTCAGTAAAGGTTGCTGAGATATTTTGTAGAAAAACATAAAATAAAACATTTTTCACATTATTATGTGTTAATAATTTATCGAAATGAATTTTTTGGCAATTTTTTAGAATTATTGATCATGTATGCTTGTTCAATTTTTATTAATTTTTCTACGACGATTTTCATAAAAAATATTCCTCTACAGTGTCTCTCATTCGTCATAACATGAAAAGAAAAGAATAGAGGAATTATGACAAATCGAGCTGGATGATTTGTAAGAAAATTCACTATTCAATCATAATATTAAAAGTGGAAAGATATCTAAAAATATGCGTTTGTATTCTTTCAACGTGATTTTTTTACGTGTCCAATGAATGAGTAATAGATCAAATTTATATATACATATTAACTTTTTAACATTATATCTTTTGAAGTATTAGATTACAAATGACTCAATCTTTTCACTTCACCTTTCAGGCAGCACAATCAAATCACTAGTGATTACTTCACTCTTTACTATTGGCATATGAACAAAAACGAAAACTCTTGATTCCTGTCTTTTTCATAGCATCATTAAGTTTTAAATAGACAGATATAAAAATCAGTTCTATTTCATTATCTCATATATTTTGGTGATTGACAATGTGTGCAATGAAAGAGCCGTTTACTTTTTTTTAGTAAATAACTAATGACTAATCGAGCCTAGATAAGATTCAAGAAAACTAAACATGTATCATATTACAAAAAAATTGATCTATGACATTGCTGTATCAAACATTTTATTAATGTACAATATTTATCCTTGAATTTGATCTTCCACTCATAAAAAATCGAAGGATTCATTTTTATGATAGACTTTAGTTTGCCTATGCCATATCTTACACTCACTTGCTTTTCTTTGTATAAAAGTTACTTGAAGTGCCAGCTTGGTAGTAATGCTTCTTCATTCGCCGCTGTTTAGTATAATACTTATCGAAAAAAATATTTTACGTGTACATATCAACGATTCAAACCTGTTCCGTATTTATACATAAATTTGAAGCTAATGTTTATTCATTACTTCATTCATCTCGAATAGGACCTTCTACGCACTCACATATTCGAGACAAAAGTAAAATAATAATAAAAACGAATAAAGAAGAGAGGAAGAAGAACAAAACAACCAAAAGATTGTGTCTTCTGACATTTCAACATCACGTAAAGAACACATAGCAACGACAATGGGCAATAAAGCATTACAAAAGAAAAGTAAAACGGCAAATTATAACGAGCTTACGGATAATCAAATTCAAACGTTGGTTTCATCAACTCATTTTTCAGCTCAACAAGTTAGTGAATGGCATCAAAGTTAGTAGTTTGTAACTTGTGTTCTTTTTTCTAATTTTTTCTTTTGAGACAGGCTTTATACGCGATTATCCATCAGGTTTGTTTAATTATTTGCAACTACTGTATTTTATTCAATATTTTCTTAAATAGGTAAACTTGATCGAAAGCAATTTATCGAAGTTTATCGGCAATTTTATCCACAAGGAAAAGTATGATGAAAAAAAGATTGTATTTGTTTATCTCAATTCTTAATATTAATATTAGGCAGGCAACTTTTGCTCTCTAGCATTCAATGCATTCGATCGAGATCATAATGGTGTGATAGATTTCAATTTGAAAAAAAAATACAATAAAAATTGATCATCATTTTAGGTATTGTGGATTTTAATGAATTTCTTACGGCTATTGCTTTGACAATGAGCAGTAATAATCTATACATTCTATTTGATATTATATTCATTCAAATTTTTTATAGGTGAAATAAAAGATCGTCTGGATCTTGCTTTTTCAATGTATGATATCAATGGCGATGGTTTACTGGATAAAAAAGAATTAAGTGTGTATTTTTTTATAAAGTATGAATGCGAATGCTAATTTCTTCCTTTTATTCGTAGTTCATATTATTAAATTGATTTATGAAGTGAATGGAAAGAAAAAATTCAAGCAGGATCTTTCACCAGAAGATACAGCTCGTATGATTATTGAAAAATTTGATAAGGATGGTGATAGAAAACTTTCTCGAACAGAATTTATTGATGGATGTTTAAATGATACAGAATTACGAAAATTGCTTACACCGTGAAAACATTTTTGCTACCTTACTGTTTGTGTAATATAGGATCTTTTATTTGTACAGTCAATTCGTTAATTATAGTTAGTCTTTTGGAAAAATAAAATTCATCTACGGAACCTAATTTTTTCTTTGCATTTCTTCTGGTTTGTTTGACGGTTCACAGAATAATTCAGAAGTTAATTCAGAAGTTAACAATAAATTCTTTAAACATATGGTAACTCGCAACATTAATATTTTGTAATCACAAAAAGAAAGGCTAGTCTTTGGAGATCAATATATAATTATGAGGTGACATCCACTTGAGTCAATTTAACGATAGATTGATTTAAATACTTTACTGTAGCTATACACTGATATAGTCGATATAGGGTTTCCTTGTTTTAAGATTCTCTTAGTAGTTTAATTTCAAATCACATGAAGTTTTCTGGATACGTTTTAACTGCATTGAAAACCCTAGCGTATAAGTTCTAACACTTTATATCACAATGTTTTCAGCAGATATTCAACAAACAAAAGCTAAAAATAGCATTTTAAAGGCACTATATGATTTCATTCTATACATTTTTCTCAGTTTAATAGAAATTTTCAGAATAAAATGCTATCTTTTTGAAGCTTTACTTTCATGTGAAGAAAAAGAATGACCAAGCTACTGAATATCATAAAAATTCTCTAAAATTGTTATCTCATTTTTATGCCTATGCCTTGTTTTCGTAAATGATTAGAATGAGGTTTAGTAAGAGAAACACGAGCATTCAAGCTTCCTGTAATATTTTATAGAATGTGCAATCGGAAAAAAACTAAGAGTGAAAAAGATTTCCTACTTGCATAGAGAATGAGACAATGATGGGATATGCTAAGATTGAAATTAAATTTAGCCCGAAAGGTAGCTTTATCTTTGATCTTTATAAACTAATATGTCGATGGTCAATGATAGAAAAATAAATACAAATTATTTGTCAAAGGATTCTATTAAACTTCAATAAACTCATTAAATTGAAACGATGACAAATATTCAATTGTTTTTACGAACAAAAGCAAATACCATCATTAATAGAATAAATTGTCTTCAATCTAAAATGCACCAATATTCGCATGACTGAACAATCACATGTTCAATGATCACGATAAAAGAAAAAGAAGAAAACCCGAACGAACAACAAAAACTACTCGTGATTGTTTCGATTATCATCATTCAAGTGTGACCAACGAAACGAGTGCACCTTGCTGTCTATTTATCTGTGCACAACATAAAAATCTTGATATTCATCACTACCCGTATGGGTAGTGACAAGTTTACTTCTACAAAGTCAAGGAAAACTGTTTTGAAAATATGTAAATTACTATGAATTGTCTTCGTCTTCATCCATTGGAAACATCATATTATGCTTCTGTTCAACCAATGTGATCAACTTATTTAAACCAAGATCAACTCTTTATCAATTTTACGGTAGAATTAGTCTATCGTTGTCTTTTTTGTTTTGTTTCAATCTCACTACTGTTGGCGATGTCTTTCAAAATATTTGTTTTAAAAAACAACTATTTTTTAATCGTGTAAAAATATTTAATCAAATTTCTTAAAATAAACGTTAAACTATTGTTAACACCGATGTGCGACACCTTTTCATATTTACCTTTCACAAATAATTCTGTTGAATATTATACTGACGAATACACAACTACGATAAGGTATGTATGTGCGCGCGCGCACGCACGTAATGTAATCTCGTTCAAGAATGCAGCATGCAACTTGTTCATTTATATTGATCACAGTGTTTCTATAGCACGTCATTGAATCGTATTTAACTTGAATGTCAACACAACATCGACGGATTACAATTGTTGAGAGTTAATATGTGATTGAAGTGAGTTTTCACTGAAAATATCATTGACAAAAAAACTAAATATTGACTATATTATCTTATTTTATCGTAGACAAAGTAATAAATCTTAACCATTAATTTAATTACTGATCATTTTTATGAAAAGCAAGAAGTTTTCTACTACAATATTGTTATTGATCATTGATAAATTTTTTGCAAATAGACGTATACTTTATATTTTCACTACGTTCCAGATAACAAGTTGGCAAATTAATCAAAATGGAAATTGACGATGTTTTACCTTGTCGAAAGTTTGCATTCAGTATAGGTCATTTTCTCAATGATTTATGCGCATCAGTGTGGTTCTCGTATTCACTTGTCTTCTATCATGTTGTAGTAAAATTTTCAAATAGTTCTGCTGGTTATTTATTATTGATTGGTCAAGTAGCTGATGCTCTAGCAACTGCTTTCGTTGGTTTCGCCTCGGACAAAACAAAGCATGGCCTATGTGGAAAAAGAAAATCATGGCATCTACTAGGTTTGTATAAACTCATAGAGTATATTTATTTTCGTTTTTTAGTAAAAATAAAAAAATTGAATCTTTTGAAGGGGTCATTTGTGTACTTTGTTCATTTTCAATATGTTTTCAAGTGGAAAATGAAGCTTTTACATCAATTGTATCGCCATTTATTTATTATACAATTTTTATAATAATATTTCAATTTGGTTGGGCATGTTCACAAATTGGACATTTATCAATGTTAAATGAATTAACATCGAAAGATGGTGAACGTGTTGCTTTGAATGCATATCGTCATGCTTGGTCAATTGTTGCAAATATATTTGTTTATACTGTTACTTGGTTTTTGCTTGATAAAAATGAGACAAGACATAACAATCATATGGATGACAATGTTTTTCGAGTAAAACTAATCCAGTGAAAAACTGTCAAATTATTAAAAAAACGTTTATTTATAGATGTTAACTCAAATCATTATTGTGACTGGTTTTTTTACGTCTCTCATTTTTCATCTTGGCTCCAAGGAATCTATATCTTCAGCAAGTATGAAAAATATAATTACATATCACTGTCTTTAAGCTCTCAGTTGCGTTCACGTTGAATATATTCACATGGTATGGTTAAATTACCTTTCAAAAAAGAAAAAAAAAGAATTGCTAAGTACACTTGTAAACATGAATTGTTACTTGAAACTTAATCATATATAATCCTCATTTTACAAACCTCTATACGAGAATAAAAATAGATTCTTCACTTTTCTTCAAAGTAAATTTTTTCCATGGATTCTCATACTCTAATGAACTTTTATTTTATAACACATTAGTCCCTGAAAGTCTTCTACACAGTCAAAGTTCATAGAATTGAAATCTCCTATACAATATTGAATATATTTACTTCGAGAGGAGTGAACATTCGCAGTACGAAATACAAAACTATCATATTTTTCGCTTTAGAGCAATATAAAATACTCTCGGTTACATCTTATACATGGTATGATGTTTTATGTGATACTCAATTCTATGGCATATCACTTATTTGGGTGTTTACACGTGTTATGAGTAATGTTTCACAAGTTTATTTACCTTTATATATTATGGATAGCACTGATGCAAGTCAAGTAGATCGAGTTCGTTATTATTTTAAAAACAAAAAACATTTTGCATTGAATTAAATACATTCCTATTTAGACATTTATTGCAGTAGGTCCACTATGTGTGTATATTAGTGGTTTCATAACTTCATTTCCGATGCGAAAAATTAATAAATATTTAGGACGAAAGAAAACAATGATCGTTGGACTTATTGCTGCTCTTGTATCATCATTTCTTTTCTGGCATATTTTTTCATTAAAAAACAATCTTGGTATTTCAATGCAATTTACAATTCTCATTGCTGCAATATTACTTGGAATAGGAATAACAACAGCACAAATTACATCAAGTGCATTTACATCTGATTTTATTGGTGAAAATACAGTGAGAAAATATTCATCGATTGTTAGTCTATTCTATTTTTTTTTCGAATAGGAAAGTAGCGCATTTGTTTATGGAGCTATGTCATGTTTGGATAAACTTGCGAATGGATTAACAATTATTTTTATACAAGAATATAATCCTTGCAGGTACGAAAACGATTTTTCTTCTTTTTCATTAAAACAATTATTTCTCTTGTTTTTTTCTTCTTTTTTTATAGTACATGTTTAACATGTTGTCCAATTTTTTATCGACAAATCCTTTCATATGTACCAGGTGTTACAGCTATTTGTACACTATTGATACTAATAACTATTAGAGGTCTTCATAGTAACAATCGACATGGAGATGCAAAACGAAAATCTATAAGTTCGTTATTTCATGGAATAGCACAACGTGCTCTCAAAATAATATTAACGAAAGTTATATGATGATTCTTCATCATCATTTGATTAGGCGGATATATTTTTTAATCATTGAAAATCTAAAATATTCCGACCGACCAGTTTACTGCTTTATATTGTTCTGTACAACATAATTCGATAATTTATGTACAAAAAATTTGCGAATTTATATAAAGTGTAAATCAACATCGATCATATTTTTTTTATCTATATATACAGTCGTTGCTATCATTTTGTTATCTTATATCAATACCGAATAAAATTGTTCATCGAAAAACAAAAGTATAGCTATTTTATTTGTCTAACAAGCCCTGATATTCTTCAATTAGAATACTTAATGATTATCAAAAGAGTTTGATTAGTAGAAGAAAAAAAACTTTTTACATACATTTCATTTTCTATCAATAAATATTTGCAGCTAAATTCACAATAAAACCGAGAGAAAAAAAATAAGCAATGACCAAGAAGATGCCTAAAGCAAAAAGTTACTCTTAAAAGTTTTCAATAGTGCACCCACACCCTATGATAGTTCCATTGTTTTTTCTTTTTTAAATATTCACATGGAAAACGGAACTGTAGGATGCGATTACTATTCATAGCATAGCACTATCGATAAGGTCCAGCTGTTGACTTTCTCATTCCTTGCATCTCCACCTACATAATATTTTTCGCCTTTCAGCATATTCAATCGTTTTTCTTCGAAATAAGCAAGTCAACAAATCAATACTATAAAGAATTCACACGCAGATAATTCAGTAATTTTTCTTCTTATTTTCCATTTCCATAAATGAACAATGTAATTGTTCAAAGCTTTGAATTTTTCACTGCAATAACTCAATCTTAAACTATATATGCCAAAATTGAACATACTATTTTAACAACATTTTATTATTTACAAATTTAAATTTAAAGCTTCAATCATTCATCGAAGTTCTTTTTCCGATGTGCAAGAAATAAAATGAAAGAGAAAATTATGCATATTAGTATTTATAAGAATACATATCGGAATAATCAATAAGACGGAAATTATAAGCTTCATCAATGAATTACCAATTGAAGCACGAGCTCTTTTGTGGTCTCAAGTAATCAATGAATCATGCTGACTTGATATTTATTTTTCATCTTACATCATTTTATGATTTACATAACTAAACCACTGAAAATAGAACTTCTACGAGTAAATATTGAACGAAATGTAGCGTTCATTAGTTGGCGTACATGTTTCTTGTTTTTCTGAAGATATAAACCAATTCGGTTTTTTTAGAAAGAAAAGATACACTGAAAAACATTAAAAAAAATGTTGTTTATGAGTTTCATTAATATTTTAGCTATTCTGCATAGCAGAATCTAATGTTTGCTTTTGCGTATCTCAATGATAATTCTATTATTCAGTGAGAGGATTTACATGGCGATAGTATTAGGATGAATACTAATCCAAAATTTGCGTTTATGAATATCGAAAACATTTTGCTGAAAGACTAACAAACACTCACTGCTTCATTCAAAGAAATTAATTAATTAGTTTTTGAAAATTCTTGAATTTAATATTTTATACTGATGTTTATTCTTTAGTAGTCCAGAGATTACACCTGATTTCTATAAAAATTATTTAAACAAAAAAAAATTTATATTAATTTCAATGTAATAATGAAAATAAATTATTCGTGTTGGTTTTCTAAGTCTATAGTTCAGTTCTTATTTAATTAAACTTCACATATTTTTTGTTTTATTTACACTATATTCGTCACACTTCGTTGCTTGCCTATGACAACGTATTTTCTTTTGGGATTACTATTCGTCACTAACGATGCTTGTATTTTTCTCTTTGATTTCGTAGCTACGTATAAAACCAAAAAAAAGAAAGAATCAATTATTCTTTATTCTATCAACATTTCTTTTGATTAGCACTTTTCGTTCTTCATTAATTTCAGTAATCAATACGCACTATGTTTATTATGAGTATAAACTTCAATCTCAACAAAACTTACAACAGCATGTACAGGCGATGTAGATGAGGAGAAGAATGAATTGACTCTTTTTTTTTTATATTTATAGTGTTAAGCATGGCATCAGCTAATGTAAAGAAATTTTGTGCCACATGTCTCAAACATGGTGATGTGTTCACTTGTCGTGGTTGTCGAAAATCATATTGCGCTAAACATATCGATGAACATCGAGAAAAACTTTCCAAAGAAGTAGCTAATCTTGCAGACGAACTTGAATTTGTACGAAATAGTTTAAATCAAGAAAATGAAGCACAATCTCTTCTTTCTATGGTGAACAAATGGGAACAAGAATCGATTGCAAAAATTTGTCTAGCTGCAGAAACCGTTCGAACAGATATACAACGATGTATAGATCGAAATAATCTCGAAGTGAAAATTCCCTTTGAAAGAATATCCAATGAACTTCGATCTTGTCAAGAAAACGATGATTATACAGAAATAGATCTTAAACGATGGACTCAACATTTAGAAGAATATCGCGACAAAATAGAAAAACTACCTAATATTGATATAAATAATGATGATGATACTGGAAAAATTCATTTAGTTAAAATAAGAGATATGAACGACGAACTGCAATCTTATTCTATTATTCATTCAACACCTAATCTTGATAAAAGTGCGTTTAGTATTCCAGAACCAAATCTTCTCGTTCGGGAAAAATTTGACGATGTTTTTGGATCGGTTGCCTTATTAGACGATGGTCTTGTAGCAACATATGCTGGCCCTTGGCTAGGTGATTCAAGTATTTGTGGCATTAACGTTTATTCAACTGGAACACATCACATTCGTTTTCGTATTGTAGAAAAATTTTATGATTCACCCTTCTTCGGTATAATTACTGCATCGCAGAAAAATGCAAAAGGCGTTTTAGGAACCGTATCGACAAATGGATGGTGGAACTTTGACTTTCCTATCATAAACGGTGAAAAAGATAATCGCGTTGGAAAAGACAAAATAATTCGACTACAAGATGACCTTACATTAACATTAGATTGTGAAAGAAAACAGATTTTTCTCAAGCATCATCGAACGAAAAGACTTCTTCATATACCCGTTGATATGCGAGCATGCCCTTTTCCATGGAGGATACTTGTTGTTTTACATCGTCGCGGGGATACCGTACGCATTATAGGTGGTACATTAAGTTTAACGAGAGAAAATCTATCAAGTAGATTAAGTGAAAATCGACCAATTTAAGATGAAATATGAAGCCTTTTTTTCTTATTTGACTTTAAATATAAATCTTTTATCTACCAACATCAAATATATAATATACATACTTTTTTCTACAGATTTTTCTAATTTAACAGATCATACTTATTGGAACATTTAGATATCATGATAATTCACAAATGATATATTTAAAAATTTTTATACCATTGGTTAGTTATAGAATGAGCCTAGTCGAAATCTGACATACGGCATAGCATGTTGACTATTCTATGCAATAAACCTGCACTTCTGACTAGCTAAAATATACATGGGAAAGTTAAAGAATGGAACACAAAAGAGTTCTATATCAGCTCACTCTTCTTCTCAGATTTGCAACTGATTCTTGTGAATTCTTTCATAAGCATTCAAATTAGCCCTAGACGTAGTATTATTTATTATATTTAGATGAAAATGATTGTTGTTGAAAATATTTTGTTGTGCCTATCGAGTACAATGGCTTGTAGAATGATTCATCCATCTTATTGTCGTACCTCATCAAGAGTGCAGCAAATTTCAGATACATTTGAATTTTTCTTCCAATAAAAATTCTTCTTCTTTTTATTGCAAAAAATAAAGTGATAGATTGAAAAAAGAAATCTTTTTTAAGACCCACTTCAAAATTAAATTCTAAGTGTGTTTGATTAGCTCTTGAAACAAAGAAATTCTCGCATTCCTTCTTTCTTGTTTTCATCGCCACGTCCGAGAATCGCATGAAAAACAGTCTAAATAAAATTAAACCAAAACATGTAAGTCATCGTTCCTCGATCGTTAGCTAATTCGACTAAATCAATTGCATGAATAAATGTCGTTAAAACTATTACCAGGAACAAGAGAAAAAAATAGAACTATTACGACTGGGAGAATCATTTGCCGACTTATTTGACACGAAAGAATGAAATAAATTTGTTTAGATCACTATGTGACTAGAATATCATTGATCGACAACAGATCAGCTGTGGAAACTTGCAAGCAAATATTTTTCTCTAGGCTACTCTTTTTTTACTGATTTCGTGACTACTATTTGATTGTCTTCTATGCAAATAGTTTCTATCTATGAAAAAATCAAGCTATTGAATCTACCAAAGACTGGGCATTAATTAAAAAGCAACTTAAATCTATTAGAAATGTTAGTTTGACAGTGATTAATTATCATTATTAGTGTTCGTTTGTAGTAAAGAAAAATAGTCGTTCACGTTTAATGGCATTTCTTTAGAAAGAGTTGAAGTTACTCATAGTATCACAATATTTATTTAACTAATATGATTAGTAACAAGAGTTTCTCTAATAATTATTTAAATAAGCGGATTAAAATGTTGACATCGAGCAAGCCACCAACAATTATTTTTCTGTTGTGAAAGTACAATTACTCAATGCATAACAAAACATTAGTGATTGATTCAAGAAAAGACACCATTCCTCATTTGTCTGAAAAACTGTAAAACAAATGTTGATGTTGCGTGAATTTTTCGTATTTTAAATATAAATTTTTCAAATAGCAAATGGCATCAAGAAATTAATTGATAGCTACTATCTTGGACGATATCCTCTAAAAATCAATTCACTTTTTTTTTTATCAAGCAAAAGTATATAAAACTAAATAGATATTTATGAACGGACTGACGTAACAGCCAATCAAGGATGAGGGAACTGTTTGTTAATTGACTTTTCGCTCAACTAAGAACTATTAAAATTTCGAATGTCGTTTGTATCATTCTTGCAAGAAATTCATTTTAAAAATTCAATTTCTGTTTAATTGAGAAATCATTTAGGTTTTCAATCAGTATGAATATTAATTTACAGACCGTTCTTCTGTTTTTTTCTTAATGTTCAATAGACAAATAATTATGTTTGCCAAGAAACGAAAGACGAACGTTTATTGTCTGAGTCAATTATCCGTTAACAAACTATGGTCATGTACACGCTGAAAAAACAATACCGTTTAGTAAACATATGATTAGTTGTCGTTTAGTCGATATAACCAGGTGTCGTTTTCTCTTTGTTATTGAGCTCGAATAGGAGAATATTCTTTTTAATTAACTGTTCCTTGTTCCACCCACCTGCATTGTACAGTCAAACACTTGAATGAAGCAGAGAACAGTAAAAAATCAAATTTGATATGACACATTCTTTGCCTCCTCCCTTCACTCAATTCAATAGAACAAATATACGTAATTCATGTATTGTTCGTCAAGAGATTAACAACTATATGATCAGTTCGAAGTTGCTTACGGTGGTTGATCTTTTTCTTCATTGGCTATATCTTAGTGCCCTGAAGGAGACTCGTGTGCATACTATATGTTCAACATTGAATGTCGTTTAATTTCAATCATATACAACACATATCATCAGCATCATTGAGAAAAGCAATCAAGCATCGCTAATCATAAGCTCAGGTAAAAACATCGGAATATAATGAACGATGATGAAATCTTATATTTTGTTTTCTTATGTTTAAATGAAGAATATGATTCGTAATATTGATTAATTAATCGATGGGAACACAGCCGGATTTTTGTTTTGAGAAAAAAAATAATGAAAAAGTTTGTGCGAACTAGAAAAATCTGCTGTACGATTATATATATATATATATATATATTAGGCAAAACATTGAAGAAATAACTATCATTAGTTTCATGTTTCTCATACGAATAGGTAAGGAAGTAATATGAAGAAAACAGTCAAAAATATTGGGAAAAAAAAAACAACAGATTCTCATTGTTATTTTTCATTTTTTATTTTTTATTCTGTAATTTATCTCGAGAATACTATTTTTTTGTACCTACGCTTTCTTCTACTTTGAGTACATATAGATATTGATTTATTTTCTATTATGATTTTCATTGGTCACTATTTTTCTTGTCTGTTCTATCCTATTAGTCGTTTGCTTTCGTATTCATATACTTGCATTGATATTTTTGTTATTACTGACAAGAGAGACAGAGAGAAAGAGAGAGAACACGAAGCAGAGAAGAAGAAGAAGAAAGAAAAAAAGATTAGATTACTCTCAAACGTCTTTTTTTTATCAAACATAAATATAATCAATGCGTTTATTATCAAATCAAACTGATCAAATGCCAACAGCTTCGAAAGTATTTTCGGATCATGAAAGCGACGAATTCGATGACGATGACAACGACATGATGGTAGATTATTCTGATGATCATCGTCAATCAACAGAAACTTCAACACATAAAAAATTTAAAAATCGATCGAAACGAACTGGTCGAAAATCAATTCCATTAAAAAAACGATCACATCTTAAACGATCAAGTAAATCAATTCAATCATACGATGGCTTTGATACGTATGATATGGATGATCTGAATCCAATAGAAAATGGTCAAACTGCTGGTCAACGTCATGCAGCTAATTTACGAGAAAGAAAACGTATGCAATCAATAAACGATGCTTTTGAAGGTTTACGTACACATATACCTGTACATCCATACGAAAAACGTTTATCAAAAGTTGATACACTTCGTTTAGCTATTGATTATATAGCTTTTCTAAATCGTTTATTAACAAATACATCTCAAACAGATTCAATTCATTCATTACCTCAACCGTCGCATCGTTTTCGATCACATCCATCACATCCTCATGGTAATAATTGTCCTGTTTTAACAAGAAAAAAAATCATTCTAGATTGTACACCAATCATTAATGATGAAACTAACGAAGGTAAGATATGTCAATTAGGTTTGATGCATTAAATGAATAAGCGTAAATAGATCAGACAAAAATTTTCTATGACTCTTCTACGAGTAACCAGGCGGAATAAAGTATTCTTAGTCATCAAACAAAATCGGTGAATTATTTTCTTTTTTTTTATTATCGGATACAACAAATGTATATATATATATATTTATTTAAATCTAAATTTATCCGATCCGATATTATCTTTTAGTCCCATTAGATTTGTTCATCATGCATCTATTTATTTATTTAGTTTAATTATTGACATACGTGTGTAAGATAAAACATGATTCTTCTATATATATATATATATATATTTTTTTTTTGTAAGAAAACAGTAGTTATTCTTGTTGTTAAGTTCTCTTCAGGGAATAATTTTTGTGTTTCTCTCGTGTTGAGTTGACTTAAGGCAAGAAAAAATAAGATATTGCTAATCGAACACTTGAACAGTGTGAATATGTCGATAATTTTATCATCATCATCATCATCATCATCATTTGTATAAAGTTTTTCTTTTCTTTCTGTTTGCCAACACGATGCATATGATGAGTGTTCAAATATAAACAGATTGAAACAAAAAGGAAGCAAACAATTTAATCGAAAAAATGGACAAATGATGATGATCCAATATACTTAAGGAAAATAAAATCAGTAACATAAAAATCAGCTGCCGGAGATGATGACAACGAGGGAAAAAAATGAAACTATAAAAGTGTTTATTTTATCGTATTCTATATAGACAAAACAAGTATCTATCGTTTCCACTTGAAATCCATTTATCATCATTTCAAACTAATGAGCATTGTTTTCTCGTCTCTATCCCCAAATAAAGATGCTCATACTCGAAGTATTTTTTCCTTTCCTATTGTCCCAGCTGGCTAGTGGTCGCGTGCCTCCGCCCATTTATCATGTAAATATCCAACAGTCATTAGAATCAGTCGGTCAAATTTTCTCCAGTCTTTTTTCCTGCACATTTGATCTTTTACTATAGTGACACTAACCGATATAAGTAAATCATCACGTATCTCATTTGGATTTGATTGTCTTGCTTTATTCTTTTTCTTGACCATAAAAAAATAAAAGAATATATGCCGCCGTCAATTAGTCATTTTCCAATTCTTTTCTCTTTTCTTATTATCTTACTTATTCGTTAGTTATTATTACATCATTCTAAACTAGTTCCTCTTGACTAATCGATGAGTGTATACCGCTATGTTGTTTGATATTATGTATGTTTTTATTTCTCAAAATAAAAATGATACGATAGGGGCAAAAAATCAAGTTGTCTATCCAACAACATAAAAGAGTGAAAAGTGGTCCATCATCTTGAATGATACTAACCGGTATCGTCAAAAAAAAACAAAGACTTGTTTATACTACGGATTATTTTCTAATATTGCCTCTGGCTTGTTTATTCTCACCGTTGAATAGAGAAAAAAGCAGAAGTGTTCAATGAGAAAAAAAGAAATTTCTTAATCATATATTAATGTTTTCTTTTTATATATGTATATATTTTTTATTATTGATTAGAACAAGCAATTTTGGGTCATTCATTATCATGGTATGATGCATCATTACATCATTTAGTTCATCATTCATCTGTAGTTGCACCTGGTTGTAATACTTATCATTCGGATATACTAGTCATTACAGCTAATGTATGGATACCTGAAATGCTTTCATCACCAAATTCAACGCGCACAGCTACATCACCCATTTGTTCAGCTCTTCCGCTTAATATTCCAATAATAACTAATCGTGATTCTGTTCATATAAGTGATAGTGATAATGATGACAATGAAGAAAATGTAAGTCCAATTGGCCTTAGCTCGAATCATTTACAACAAATTCAATCACAATGGGATATGTCAATCAATGGAAACGAATTTTTGCCTGTTTATAATAATCATCATTCTCATCATCATCATCAACAACAACAACAGCATCATCATCATCAGCAGCAGCAACAGCAAACAACAGTTTATGAAGATGATCATGTTTGGTATGAACGATTAAGATCGATGGCAACATCAATTGGTAGTGAACAACCATCATCTTCCGATTCATCATCGAATGACATTCAACAACATCATCAATTATTCGATGTTTATTCTCAACATCTTCCACCACCAATGATGACTACAGTTAGTATTGATCCACATATGAATTATTATTCAACTAATCATGCTCTTGATCACTATCATCAACATCATCATCATATACCTGAATATCAGACAATGTTTTCATTTTAATTGTTTTTTGTTATGAAATGAAATGAAAAAAAACAATACATGTTGTAAAAGAGAAATGAATGTTGAATTTTAGTTTAAATAAAGTATTAAAATAATCATGTATATTATTAGAATTCAAAGCTTATTTGATCTTTGACAAAATGGATCAATATGAGCAGATATCAAAGGCGGACAAGAACACGATTAGTAGTTTCATATATATATATATATTGTTTAGTAACCACGCCTTCGGCTCTTTTTCTCTTCCATCTTATAATTGTATGTTCATGTCTTTCAGTAATAGATATACTTTTGAACAATATCAATGATGAAAGGGAAGTAGACATGGACACGTGCTTGCTTGTTCGATTTTGATTTTTTCTCCCTATTAGTCGAATTTTATCAACGAATGAAAGAGTGCACAGTTATCAGAACACTTCATCGTATCAGTAAAATGGTGAGAAAAATAGCAGCTTTAATATAAATTTTGAAAAAAAAAGAAGTTTCCAATGAAAAAAAGAAAAGAAATATATATGTATATTTAAATTCAGAATAAGTTCGAAATGAAAATGTCATAGTTGTCAAGGTCATATTGATAATAAACGATGGCTTCTTTGGGAAATATGTGATTCTCTTTGAACAAGTTGATTAATCTGTTATGAAAAGAGTTTATAATAATAAAAAAATATTTGAGATGAAGGAAAAAAATGGATTGATTTTCTTTTGCTCTTTTTTTTTCGAAGAAAACATCAAAGATTAAATCTTTTCGAAGACTGTCAATTCAAAGCAAACAGTCAGTATTGCTTTAAGGCAATCGGTGATAACGAAGATTAAATCGCTTGCATTTATTTGACTAAACACTTATTGACATACGACGGAAATCAGAACAATATTCGATCTTTCGATTTTGTTTTTTTTCATTTTCCGATATATCTGTTTACTCAAAAATCATAGAAGAAATTATGTTAATAAATGTACATGTACTTTGCTCCGTAATACTTATATCTCTATTAATGACCGGTGATGAGATTACATCGATTTGTATTCCGGTTAGAAATGTCAATGGTAAATAATATTCATCTATGAAAATTTTGATACAAATCAACAATTTTGTTAAGGAAAGAAATAGTAGCTGATAGCGTTAATGAGTATCGTTTTGTGTGTGCTATTCATATTTGAGAATGACAAAAAAGTAGTGAATTTCACTTCAATTATGAACTTGAATATCGTTTTTCTTTTGTAACCACGATCGAAAAATGAAGACTTTAAAACGAATAGATGACTTCTGTTTTTTATCATTTCAAACTTAACATAGAACACGGCCCTTGATGTCTTTGAAAGTTATGAATTGTTCCATTTCATTGTAAAAATTTATAATGTCTACCGAAGATAGAAACATCGTGATATGAGACAATTTTCATTTTTAGAAAGATGTAATCGTATATTGAAGATTAAGAGCTGGGTATTTGCATCGTATATTACTATTGCTGACTACATTTAAAGACTTATTTCTAAACTGATACCTGAATTTTTTCATTTGACATTATTAAAATGAATGATAGTTAAAAAGATTTGCTGCTCAATACTTCCTAGTACATAACCATGGATTAAAACTTATACGGATGCTAATTGACTTTAAAAAAGTAAAAGAGGCTACGAAATGACATTCGAGTATGTGATTGTTAGAATATGCTTGGCTTCAGAAAGTAAATACGTCTCTTGTTAATGATGCAGTCAGGTGAGACCTAGAAGGAGATCTCTATTCTCTTTCACTGACGAACATTGACCTCGGTTGGTAAAGTCATTTATATAAAAAAAAAAAAACATACATTTTCGACTTGGTTAGCTATTTAATCTGTTTAAGAAAATTCTTATTCTTAAATGTTGTTCAAACAAAATGAAAACTAGAAATCATTGAGATTTATGAATGATTATATGTGCTTGTTTTTTGTTGCAGTTATCTATTTGTTTCATTCAAGATAGTCTTACAGAATGATAGATTCTCTTTTGATAAAATATTCATTTCTAACTATAGTTACATTAGAAATGTAATAATAATAAACAGCTGACTACAAGAACTATAACGTTTGTGAAATGCTTAGATTAGCGAACATAATAGACGTAATCATCAAATGCAACGAATGAACTAATTAAAAACCATATAGCAAATATTTTGGGAACATATACGTATATATGCGTATCTGTAATAAACAATAAAATCAAATATTGCCATCAGCTACCTGACGAAAATGCAATTAGATAATCTTATAAGAGCAATATACGACTTCTTTCTTTATACAATTCTGTATTTACATGATCATTCTGAACCATTGTCTATTTATGAGAAGAATAACTTGTGTGATAAAGTTTGCAAGGTTATTTTTTTTCGACATACGAATGTAATAGATCCAATTACTTGATGGTTATCAAATCGATGCATCGATCAAGATTTGAGGTTAATATTTGATGACAGAAGCCAATCTGAATTATATTTATTAGAATAAAAAGCAAGACAATGTTCTTCTGTTCTTCATGCAATACGCATTTGTATCGTTTTATTTTTATCTTTTATTCATTCTGTCAAGGTGTTTGCATTGCAAGTTTTCTTCTTCACGTGGTTGTTTATGTACAAAGGTATCAAATAGATGATGAAATTATATATATATATTGTAGTTCTTGTTCATATCGAATGGACTTTCGGAATTCGATGTTATTCATGTACAGGTAAAAAGAATGGTGAACAAAATCTGTTTGATCCATGTTTGAATCCAGCTGAAAACGTAGGCGATGGAAATGTCTATGAAATTGATTGTTTAAATACCAAACTTTGCTGGAAAGCAGTAACAGGTGGCAAAATAAGACGTGGCTGTGGAGAGAAACGATGTGCATTTATACCTGATATCAATATGGGACCACTGGTTAGTCAAACATGCTGTTCAAATGATTTATGCAATCGAACATCTTCAGTTATGTTGTCGAAAGCAATAGTGTATTCTATTAGTTTTTTAATCTTTTTTTTTCGTTTACTTCATTAAATAAATTTGAACCGTTTTTATAGACAAAAAGTTTTTTAATTGCTTTTCTTAACGATTTTTGTTTCTTCTCGTTTTTTTTTCTTTTTTCTTTTCATTTTATGCATTACCAATACACCCGATGGGCACTTGAAAACGACATTTTAAAAAGTCACTTTTCTTTTTATTGGCCATCCCACCCATTGACTACCCATTTTCTCTTTTTCCGCTCATGTTTGTCAAAAAGTTTCTCTCCTATTTTTACTCTACATGCACACACAAACACAAACATATCGTTTATCATTACCAACACAGAGGCGCAGTCAGTGACATTGTAAATAAAGTTGGATTTACGACAACATCAATAATTTTGTAAAGAAAAAGAAAAATACTTCAACAGGTTGGTGACTTTATAACTGATTACTTGTAGCAAATTTATAATTGTTTTGATTTAGATAATCATAGGCTTCTGCTTTTTTTTTTATGAAATACTATAACATTTAACAAAACATACATTTACTTTTCGAGTTTCGGTGCATTGTGGCTTTTTTGAAGAAAAAAAAACATGAGATTTCTATAGAGACATTTGTGTTTTGGTTACTCTAGAAATGATTGATTCTTTATTATCAATGAATTATTTGAACATATGCTTTATCGAATTTCTCAAACCAATAAGTATATATGACGAGTTTCCGCTGTCGTAATTCTTCTCCTTCTACTAATGGTAACATTTATTCGCTGATACAAAAGTAAGTCATCGGTAATGAGTTGACATTTCAAAGAATAGAAGCCGGATAGTGTAATATAGGTTCGTTTGAATTCTTTCAAAGTTATGTTTGTAAGAATTACATTGTTCTGCATAATATTTCCTCAGTAACTATGCCGAAAAGCAGAAAGAGTAAAATGAATTTTGAAAGAAAAACAACAGAATGACAAATGTTGAAGTTGGACTGAAATAAGATGAATAATGATTGTCATCATTAAATTTATTTGGTGCTATTCTATTTGAATATTTAGTGACACTACTTCTTTCCTCTATGCTTTAGAATCACACCCCATAATCTTTTCTGAAATTAATTCATTTAAAATCATCAAAGTATTGATCAATGGTTTTTTTTAGCATAAAGGTAAGTAGTTATCAAATAGTTGATAGATATTAACACTAGGTCTATCGTATGAAATTCAGAGACAAAAATTCTTTTGTTATTAACAATGGCCGATTAATTTTTCTAAACGTATTCTGAAGGATATGTCTCCTTTGGTTTCTACTAAAAACAACTCTTTTCTTCAAGAGCTTTCAGCCGATGGTAACATTTATTTCTGATTAAATTCCAAGACGATTTGATTTTTTGACCTTGAGTGATGCACACATCCACCAAATTCATAGTGTTTCTTTGTCTTTTTAACTGGTCAACTAATTTTATTTTAGATTTTATTGATTCAGCAGCAGTCATGACTCTCGATTCTTTAAGTGAATCAAGTCTTCTTCGATTAGAGCAATATTTAAGTTCTAATCCATATCGAGAATATTCCATGAGTAAACCATATGTCTCAAAAACATCTCAACATGTACCACATTCAACTCGATTAATACCTGAGCAACAACCATCAATTTTTGCGTTTCATGAATTAATGGACAATCAAAAAGATTCTTTAACACTTGATCGTCTTGCTTATAAACTTCGTATGAAATCTGATTTAAATATTGATACACTGCGAGAAAATCATGTAAGACGTCGACGTCATCGACACCCTCATAATCCTCATCATCATCAACAACAACACTACCATCATACGCAACATCCACATAATCTAAATCTAAATGACACAGCAAGTTCAGTGCCTGCATCAACATCAACTAAAAACTTTGCAAGACAACCTACAGCAATAACGATGTCAACAAATACATTGAAAACTGTCATGAGCGACGATTTAACTGGTATCGAAGGTAGTTCCATACGTGTTGGAACACTCGATGATCTTATAAAACAATTTCGTCGGGCTGAGTTTCGTCTTGTTCGTCGACCAGCTGATTATTTAGAAAGTGCATCAACATTTTTATCGAGTAATGTCTCAACAAATGATCGTCCTGTAGTAATAAAATCACATCAACATCATGAACGTCAATTAAAACAACCACAGGCTTTAACAGAATATCGTTTTAATGCTCCAACATTCCCAACGACACCATCACGAACACATCGCGAACCAACAATTCATCCTGGACTTATCTATCAATATAGAACACGTGAACGACTGAATAATACTGATCTACCTTTATTAAATCGTCATTCGCCTTATACTCCTCAAGAAGGTCGCCAAAGATTTAATTCGCTTATTATTCAAGAACGACAAACAACGGCCATGAGTTCACATGATAAACGAGTCCAAGAGTTACGCGAGAAAAGTTTAATGCGTACAGAAAAACAATTATGCGTTTGTAATAAATTGACCATTGTCGATCCATTTAATAATTCTTTTGAACAAAATGAAGCAAGTTTACCTCATCTTCAACAACAACATCATCATCATCATTCACAACAACAACAACCCGCAGCAAATTATATATTTCCACCTGTACGTCCGTTTGGCTATTTTACTAAAAAGTCAACAACAACAAACGATGATGCACAACAATCAGCATGGAGTCCACCACCTCCATTACGTATTAGGAAAAAGCCTGATCAAAAAAAAAGACAACGTAAAATGTCAAAAAATTCATCAGATTCTTTTGATAAAATAGATCGTATTGAAGGAAACGACGACAATAATAATTCACAATTATTCAATGATACAGTTAAATCAATGGTTAGTTTAACTGATATTGATGATGAACTAAATAACACAATCAATTCAGTAATTCATATTGATATAAATAGGTCTGATCTTATTGTCGAGAATGTTGATCGACATGATAAAATGTAGTATTGTTGTTTACAGTTACAACAAAATTTGACTGTATATATACGTATATAATTTATTTATTACATGAATAAAAAGTTTTTCCAATTTTAAGTTAAACCATAGAACCAGGCGCTTGGATATGTGATCGTTGGAATAAATTATTCAAAAACGAAATGCAAGATGCTCATGAAGTCTTTAATTAACTCATTGTCTTTATGTGATACATCATATTTTAAAATATTTATCGATTGAAATGAAACGATTCATTAATCAATCAAGCTTTTAATGTGTTTTTTTTTGTAAATCTTGTTTTTGACGCTATTTTTTTTCTTGCAAGTGTTCAATGGATTATTTTTCAAGTTTTGATGAATTGCTTGATATGTTTAATAGTTTCGAAATTATATTTATGAATTCATGAAATTATCGTATTTATCATATTAGAACTATTTTATTGAATCAGATTGAATTCAATTGTTTCAAAAATTGATAAAATTTAATTTCTTTTTCCTAGAAGTTTTTGCCTGATTTTCTTTTACTATATTTTACAATACGTTAAACAATATAAATGATTTTGAGTAATAAAAATAAAAAGAACACAGCAAAGATTCAGTTTCTTCCACTATGAATGTGCTAGGGTTCATTTAGAATCTGTTATACTTCAATAGTATATTGAAATTAGTTATCATAATCATATGGCAGTAAATGTTAGACATAGATACTACAGTTTTCTTTTTTTTAAACTTCTATTTCACATATAATTATTTTTCATAATGTATTAATAGTTTTTCACGATTGAACTATAAAGCAACGGTGATACGTGTATATATATATATATATAGATATTTATATGTATATATTCAATAACAACGTTTAATTAAAGATATAAACGAAGACAAATAGGCAAAAGATAAATGAATTCCCAGTCCATTAAAACTGAAAGACGAAACAAAAAATAAAATAAAATATTTAGATGATTAATATGAGACAATTATCTGTCAATTGAGGTCAATCGAGATACTTCATGGTCAGATCTATAAATATATATTATAGAGATAAATAAAATGAAATATTCTTAATTTACCCATAGACAACATCTTCATCTGAATCATTAATCATTGAAAATGTTGGATTATCACGAAATAGTGAATCAACAGCTGCATTTTTTGCTGGCGAGTAAACATAAGCCATTGTATAAAGATACAGATTTATAAGACTATAGAATGAAAGAAATTCTACAGAATTTTTATAACGTGATGCTAATTCTGGTACGAAATTTTCTTCGATAATGCCTGAACCAAATCGTAATGTTGTAATTACAATTGAAATTGATACAACACAGAGCATTAAAAGTGTTGTAAATTTTAAACGAATATCTAAATAGAGATGATTAAAAAGTTTGAATGATATAAACTTGAATCTGATACGATCTTTAGAAAATACAATTAAATAAAACTACATACCAAAATAAGGCATATTACGAAGTTCACCGAATGCTCTTATAATAAGAAATAACAAATACAATATATAGAGTATTCCAACAACATAGAAGATAATACGGAACGTCTAAAAAGATTAATACGCACGATGTTTTCTTTTTCAATAATTGATTCAACTTACCGTAAATTGTCTTACGTCAATAGTCATATTATACATTGGGTCACGAAATTCTTGTCCGATACGTACGGATGAAAGTACAACAGAAAATATCCAAAGAAAACTAACAAGTATTATTTTTGGTAAATAAAACGGAACAAATCGACGCACATTCTAAAAACGTAATCAAATCAAATCAAATCAATCATCTTAACATTAATATCAAATAACAAACTTGACGAATTCCATGATAAACACTTAACCAGAAAAGTAATAATGTACAAAGAAAAGTCGCTTGTAATACTCCGTCAAGAATAGATGGAAAAGAACTGTTTATTAAGAATGTCAATGGATAAAATGGATCTATTTGAAGAGAATATTCATTTGACATACATTAAAATTTTTAAATTAATTTTACCATTGTAGAAAACAAGAAGTATGAGAAGAAATATCATCCATCGTTGTTCTAATGACCAATCCAAAATTGAAAATCGACGCATCGATTTTGTAAAAAGACACTAGAGAAAAAAATTATATGAATTCATTTAATTTAGTTTTAACTAACATCTTCATTATTTGAAAATATATATTTTGTGAAAAAATCAATATTTTATGATACAAAAAAAAACGCTGGCAATGTTATCTCTAAGGTATATTTACAGTATAGTTACTCGTGATAAACATAGAAGTATTGTCTTATTACATTTAAATTAGAGTACACTTCTTCATCATCATTTTATTCAAGTATTTAGAAATACAATAAGAAAATCGTTTATATATTATCCTGAAACGAAGTTTATATCCGGTACGTCGTTGTTTATCAATACTGTTTACAATTGACCGTGAAAGAAAGTGTATCGAAAGAAATTTCTATCCTATTTGCTCGATATTAAATTTTATTTCATTTCGATAAATCCTAATTAAGTTTTCTCTTCAAACTAAATATAAGTATAAACTGTCCTACCGTAGTTGTAATGGCGCATATTAAGAAGAAAAATCGAAAAGCAAGTTCCAATTGAGTAAATTTTGGATTAAATGTGTTTAGCTAAAGAAACAGTAACAATTATATATATATATACGTATGTATCAAATGTGTATAAATTTAAAAAAATAAGCAAAAATATCTTACGAAAAATTGCATATTTTTAAGTTTTTTAGGTTGTTGATCTTCAGCGATTCCATTTAACTTTATTTCAAATTGATATATATTGTCGTGTAGAAAATTCAAATGGAATAGAATTAGTTGGTTGCAAACCTATCAATACAATATATGATTAGCAATAGATATTAAACATCAGATAAAATTCTAAACCTTCTAGAGCTTAGATTTTCTGACATTAACACAATTTCTTACATCCCTATTACTAATATTTAAGGTTTCTAATTACATCAATAGCGTCTATTTTTCAACAATCAACAAATCAATCTGTTCAACCTTCATAACTATCAACAATCATGGACATGCTGCCAATGTCAAATCATTCTTTAAACATCAAAAGCAAATAATCAACGATTCTTTAAACGATACCAATAATTGTAAGAACAACCATGAGACAAAAAAACCTTGTATTAGAATCACATTATGTGATACGTATAAAAATATCGCAAATAAAAAAGAGTATGACTGTAATGAGCTTAGGTAGGCGAAAAAGGAAAAGTGGTAGGACGCAAGGGAAGTAATCAAACAATAGATTAGAAGATGAATTTATTTTACTAATTAGAAAAGAGGAGTCGAAAAACTTAATAAATTAAAACAAGTAACAATATGTACCTATCTGAACGTATCCATATATGGAAACAGATAAATGGTACATAAAATTGGAAAAGTAATAATAAACATAGAAAAGCAGCTAAGAAGTTGCGAAAAGTAGAAAATGATTTATAAAAAAAACATAATAAAGCTACTCAAATTATGAGCAAAGTGAGATATAAATGAAAGCTCTATGATAAACAAGAGAGAAAGAAAGAAACAGAAAGACGTTCCTAGCGTTCGCCAATCCGTTTCATAATTCTAACAAGTGATATGAATACTTGTTATTATTTCTTTTTTTTTCTTTTCGAGCTAATTCATTCGAGAAACTGATGAGTGAAGATCTGATTTAATATCGTTGGGGAAAGGAACCACGATATCGACCACTAGGGGCAACTGGAACACCTGGGAAGCCAAAATCAAGATTGGTTCCATATCCACCAAAATCTTCATATAAATTCTGTCCATAAGGACTGCCACCACTTATGGTTGTTGTTACACCAAAACCAATTGGCACGCCGCATATCAAACCACCTGATCCTCCAAAACCACCTGACCCTCCAAAGCCACCTGACCCTCCAAAACCACCTGACCCTACAAAGCCACCTGATCCTCCAAAACCACTTGATCCTCCAAAACCACCTGATCCTCCAAAACCACCTAATCCTCCAAAACCACCTAATCCTCCACCGCCAAGTAAACCTCCAAGTCCACCGAAACTGCCACTACGAATAAATAAAGTCCAGTAAGAATAGTGAATTTAAATTCTTTATAATAGCTTACCCGTATCCGCCGAGACCTCCACCAAGTTGTCCACTGGCAGCTCCTAGTCCACCACCATAAGCGCTTAGTCCACCACCGAAGCCTCCCTGTCCACCACCATAGGCTCCAAGCCTGGAAGAAAGCAAAAAAAAATATTTTTACGAAATATAAACATAACAAACGAAAAAGGTTTAACATTCAACATACCCACTAGAGAACGAAGCACATGGATTAGCCATAGGCATCGGAGCTGGCATACACATGGGTTGTTGTGGCATACACATGGGTTGTTGTGGCATACACATTGGTTGCTGAGGCATTTGTGGTGCACATTGAGGTACGGGTACAGGAACAGGAACAGGAATACATTGAGGTGGACTAGGAACTTGAACTGGATATGGGCAAGGTTGTGGCACCGGCACAGGGCATGGTTGAGGAACGGGTACAGGTACACACTAGAAAGGAACATAAAAAGAAAGTTTTATTCTGGATACTACTATTGAAGTGAAATTAAAAGATCAATAAATTATAGAATAAGTTACTTGAGTAGGGCCTGGAACATGAACTGGTACAGGACAAGGTTGAGGAACAGGTACAGGTACTGGTTGTGGATATGGTTGAGGAACAGGGACGCAACTAAAATAACAGACAGTCATAATTGTACTTCTCATAAGTGACATACTTACACTGGCTGGCAGACAATACGATCGACATATACAGGAACTGGTACTTGATATGGTTGTGGAACTGGTACAGGTACACACTAGAATTAATATAAGAAAACTTAGAAATAGATAAATTGTTGTTTAAGTGAAATCTTAATCACAATTAATTCTGAATAGTGCAAGATTAATTCTTTTGTTAAAGGAATATCTACTTCGCATTAGAATATACTTAAATTTATACTGGATACGATGCCTTTGTATTAATATCCTAATGCAAATCATCGTAGCGAGTATTAATCGAGTATCATGTAAAAAGCAAAGTTTACGCCGTCAATTACACTGAGAAAAACAAATCATTTCTTACTTGTATCTGAGTTGATTGAACTGGCACTGGCACAGGAACTGGGCAAGGTTGTCTATAAACAAAAATTCAAGAAATATATTGATCTTTGAGAACTAAATACTCTCAACAATAACAATGAATAACTTACGGTACGGATACGTATTCTCGTACAGGACATGGAACAGGATAAGGTTGTGGCTGTGGTACTGGTACAGGATATGGACAAGGTTGTGGTTGTGGTACTGGTACAGGATATGGAATATGTTGAATGATAGGTGGTGGAGCACATGCTACTGGTGGAGCAGCTGGAAGACAACAATTCATATCACCAAATGGAGATCCACCTCCAAATGAAGATCCACCTCCAAATGAAGATGCACCACCAAACATAGGAAGACCACCGAAACCACCCATTGGACTACCATATCCACTTAGTCCACCTCCACCACCAAAACCAGCGCCTCCACCATTACCGCCAAACGATCCCCCACAACAAGACATTGTACCGGCACTAAAACCGCCAGTGAACGGATTAGTTTGAGCTGTCTGATTTCCTAAGCCTTGGGCACCAAAAAATGCACCTCCGAAATTAGTTCCGGCCCCGTAGCTGCCAGGGTTAGATTGTTGTCCCCCACTAAAACCACCGCCACTAGAAAATCCTCCAACTCCACTAGCACATGACTGTGCAAAAGAAGGTGCTCCAAAACTCGTTCCTGCATTAAAATTTGGTGCTGCTCCTAGACTTGACATAGCTCCAAAGTTCGATTCTACCCCGAAATTCGATGCTACTCCTCCGAGTCCTTGTGTTGCACTGTTTCCGACTCCTGCTAATCCACTAAGACCCTGAGGAAATGTGCCATAGCTAGAAAGTGCTGGTTGAGGTGCAAAAGGTACTGGACCACCTGCACCTCCTATTTCAAAACAAAAGGCATTTTGTGGAATATTCGATGGAGGTGCTACTTGTTGAGATGAATAAAATCCAGCGCTAGGTTGACTTGAGGTATTGTATACATTATAACCAAAATGAGTGCCGGCCGCTGGCTGCTGTGGTCCTTGATATCTTTGCTGACCAGTTTGTCCATAACCTTGCGGTCCTTCTTGTTGAATTCCAGCAGTAGTTTGCGATTGAGTGTAACTACCGTTGGTATTATATCCTTGGCCTGATTGTCCGTAGCCTGCAGCATAAGCACCATCACCCGCTGCTGGTAAATTTGAACCACTTGAACTTCCATAGTGACCAAGTGTTTCTTGTTGTTGAGATTGATAGTCGTGACGACGAGGTGGTACACGTATTACTTTGCGCACAACCTGTGGGGGTCCAGCTGGTTCAACAACAGTGCGTTCTTGGAGACGAGGTGGAGGTGTTGTTGGTTCTTCAGTGATTTCTTCTATAATTTCATTTTGTTGGCGACGAATATAAATACGTTCGACAATATCTGGTTCAGGTGTAGGTAATCTTTGGCGCACTTGTCGTACAGTACCTGGTTGGTCTGGTAAACGAATTGTTTGCTGTCGGACACATACTTGACGACGGCGACGACCATACATGTCACTTGATTCGTCTTGACCAATTTCATTACCATGATGATGTCCATCATAACTACTGAAAGCACCGAAATTGGTATTATCCTCACTTGTAGTGTATTGCTGGCGATCTTGGTAAATATAATTAGTTGTACCTGTTCCTATTACACTATGTGTATGTGCATGAGAACCAGCATGATATTGTTTGTAATTTCTCGACTCTGATGAACTTGTATATAATGCTCCTTCTGAGTGTTTTTGATGGTTATTATGAACATTACGTGCTAAAATTTTTTGTTTTCCACTACCTACAGCTTCACTAATATTCTCTTGGTCATTAGAAGACGCTGTAGTTTGTGGTGTATCTTGCTTATGTGGAGCCATTATTGTATAGGTTTACTCAAACTATATCTGATTTATGACTACAAAATATATTTAAGGAAAAAAATGAAGGATGTATTGACATATTCAATGGTAATAAGGTGCACGTATAACTACAGTTTTGTAGAAAATGTGCTTCTTTATAGTATCAGCGGCTTAATTCTTTTTTTTTATCTCTTCTCTTTCTCTTTCTCTCGATATGTATGAATGAACAATTATAAAGATGGCTTATGCAAGATAATATAATTTATACTTTAATACTATTAATGACGGTGGTTTTCATTATGGCGACGGTGGTATCATATAAAAAGCTGAGTTATGAGGAAAAAATAAACGATTCACAAGGCTTACCTAAATTATGAAGAGTCAAATCTTAAATAAGAACGATCACAGACACAAGAATATGAAATCGACTGACACGTAGCTGCCGTATTTATACTCTAGTTTAATTTTGACCATGGATGCTATTCTTTTCATTCATTTGACCCTGATCAGCTTCAAAGTAATATACGGAGTCAAAAAAATAGATCCAAATAATGAAGGGCACTGATAAGTATATGTGCTTAATCAACCATATCAAGGTTTATAGACATAATTGAACACATGCAAACATGTTCCTTTTGTTCTAGAGTTTGTCATTGAAGGGTAATTTTGAATGCAACACAAAAGGAACCTTCTCCTTTAATTAAAGCGAGACGCATGTAACCATAATAAACGTATACAGTATCGACTATACCATCATTTTCAATCATATGCATAACGTCTCCTAGTGTTTGAAATAAACATTGACGCTAGTACGACTTTTAAAACAAAAAGAAATGCCCATGAATTTTTATATATATATATATATATATATATATATATATATGAAGGTAATTGATCAGACAACGTAGAATTATGAGTATCATATGACAAACGTTATACTGGGATTTTCTAATATACATATAGATACGGGCCGACTATGATCAATCTGTCATCATATAAAAATCCTGTTTCTTCACAATGAGCACGATAAATACTAATATTAATAGTAATCTTTTCTGTAATGTGTTCATGACACCAGTTCAAATGACGAAATTAAGTAAGACCTATCACTATAAATTATGATTCGAATGATTAATGAAAATATTATAATGATAAATGTACTGATTTTATTAAAGTCTTTTCTTTTCCTTTATGAACGATACATTTCTCCTAGCACATATTCAAAATATCACTAGTATACATTTTATACAACTAAATTATTCGATTATATGAATGATATCATAATAATTCTACAATATCTAGTATATTAAAAGTAAATTTATTTCATTAGGATACAGGCCTTTGGTGTTGTAGACTACGCCAATCGCTAATGTTTGATTAAAGAAATTACTTTTTCACATATACTAGATATATATATATATATATATATTCGATGCGTAACAAGCATTATCATCTTTTTACTACAAAAACCAACAAGAAAACGCATAACAATCAGAAATATTAGAAGGACAAATAAAATTATGGTAAAAACACGTAAACATTCACATAACAACCATATATATGTACATAGATATTTATCACAGTCTGGTCATGCTTGCCTGATTGCGGTAAACAAAATCTAATCATTTCTACAGCTTATTAGAACAGAGAATCCTCATTACCAGCTACATTTAGCGACGCAATATTTTGTTTTTTTCGAAATATTAATATTGTCCTATGGCATATATAATCAACAGCAACTCTTGTGAATGCTTTCCTAACTACAGTACTAGTACATTTTTACCCTGTTGCAATGCACCTGTAGTCCTCGATTCTACTTATCAAGCACGACATTTTCAAGAAGTTTATTATGCACCTGAACCAGCACCTGAAATTCAAGTTGTACGACAACGATTACCGGATCCTCCGCCAGATGTAATCGAACGAGTTGTCGTTGTTCCTCAACCGAAGAAATACGTTTATCAAGTTGTCGAAGTACCAACGAAACCACCACCAGTTGTACAACAACGTGTTGTTCATCAAGCTCCTAATCCAACACTATGTGGCGGTACTTATCGTGTACAAGTACCACATGGTTCCGTTGCAAATGCTCCAAAACTAGTACAATCGGCGTCATACATGCAAGGATCGCCTCTCATTCAACAAGCACCGATGTCTTATGGTTCTTCATCTACCATTCAACAAGCGCCAATTTCTTATGGTTCTCCATCCTTCATGACTCTTTAAAAAAACTCGTTTTTACATTTATTTTTCGCTTTACTAACTTGTTTCTGACAGTGAATAGCTCGTTGGCGTTCGTAGATTTGTGGACTCGATGATGTAGATGGATTGCTCATAGAAATAGTGACATTAACTGATTGACGAAAGTCATCTACAATAAATAGATTTAAAAATTTTATTTTTTTATTTTCAATAATTTATTGATTTCCCTTTTTTTACCATTTATATCGGTCGTTGGTTTCATAGTTAACCAAAGTCGTTGATAAAATTTATCAAGATATCCCGATTCAAGTTTATAAGGACCAGACTAAAGCAAACAAGGAAAATTTCAAATCAAAAGTGTTTCTTTTTTAAAGAAAATATTCGATTCTACTATTTGTTTAGGTTGAGAATCAGTTTTATAATCGATCGATTGAATTATAGAAGGACCACCAATGCCAATCAGAATAGTAACAAACAAACAAATAAAAAACAAAACAAAAACAGCGACAAATTGTCGTTTATGCAACGCATAGAGGCGCATTTGGACCGATCTAAATCATAAAGAAAAGAAAAATGAGTTATTTTATTTTTGAATCGAAAACAATAGAATATATCTCTGCATCATTAAAGTATTTGATTCAATATTGTTACCATTGTCAATAATTATTACAAACTCTATAATTTCAGTAGGAGTCTGTGAAAATCTTCACATACAATAGTGAGGGAAATTCTCAAATCGACGTGCTTCTCTCCCTCTCTCTAAGACGCATATCATACCAAAATTTTAATGAAATTTTCTATTTACCTTTCGATTTCTTTCGTTTCTCCCATCCTTCGTCAATGCACAAACAACAGTAATACTTAGATCTAAAATTTAGAAAACGAAATCAATCTATAATCACAAATATTATTATCTTTTTTCTTTTAATATTTAAAATTGTATAAAGAAACGAAAAAAAAATGTAAATTCTTAAAGTTTACTGCGTTCCATCAAATCTTGTTTGATCCATGGGGGAGTTAAAAATGTATGTTTATTACTATGTATCTGTTTATTAATTGCTTCATAAACCTAAAGAATAAAACTAACTTAGATAGCGTCAAATCTTCAAAAGATTTTACCTTTCCATCACTAACACCTAAAACTGAATTAAGTATATGATCAGGTGGCGCAAAAACATCAACTAAACCAGCAGCTTCATTTCGTAAATCATGACATAAATCAATTAAACGATTTTGCATCAAAATATTAATTGAACCATTACTAAAATAATTTCCTTCAAATAATAAATTTAAATTTTCTTCCAGAAATTTCAACGTAAAAACAAGTAATAATTTATCAAGAACATTTTTACATTTATCATCCATTTCTTGATTATCTTCAATATATTGTAGGAATCGAAAGATAGCTGTGCGCTAAAACAACAAAAATGTATTTCAAAACTCTCGAAAGTATTGTTACTTGAATATAAATGATTGATAATGTTCGAAGATGATAAACTTGTGCTGCATTTTTTAAATCAAATGATGAAAGATTTTTTTGCATTGATAATTGATCAACTTTTCTAGCCGATTTGTCAAGAATATAACATAATAGCCATTCAACAGCTTTAAGTAAATCTATTTTACAAAAAATATTCTTTTTATTTTCCGAAAAAAAAATGATTTATTATTCTACTAGAAATTGATTTGTTTTCAATAAAAAAATTTCATAGTTCCAGTGCTAACAGAGCTACCTCAGAGATAATACTTTGAATATTCTTCAGTTATTAAGGAATGCATAAATTCATCGGATTATTCTTAATGATATTTCGCAGCATCAGTACATTTTCTATTATTTCTTTTGAAAAGGATGAAATCCGTAAATAAGAATAAGCCGACTAGCTTATTAGCTTCTAGTTCTTTTAGAGGAAATGGTTCCAATGCAGCATACTTATGCAGCTTTTGTTGATTCATCCGAAATGAAACAACTATGAGTTCAATGGGTATTGTAAAATGAACTGTTCAACAATAAAACTTTATATTAAATAAAATGATGATTAAAACCTACGTGATTTCTCTGTCAAAAAGAATACTATTTGTTTTTAAAGAATATTCATTTAATCCAAAAAGAAAATAAATCATTAAAAACATTTTACGCCCTGGTAACTCACGATCGCTGTCTCTGAAGGTTCTTTTTCTTACACAAGACGAATATTTCTCTTTTAAATGAGCCATAAGTAAATCATTCATTTTTCTTGTATGTATCTAAACTTCATATAACATTTTCGACCAAAAAGTACTCATACATTATAAATTATGTAACTCACCACTACGACTAGCTACTCATCTGTAAGCCTCCATTCTATAAATTTTACCCTTTATATCACATTCAGCAGTAATTGAACAGCGATTATTTCGCATAGTATTTTTCAATGTTGCAATGAAATCAATACTTTTAAATGGACTGCTAATCGGTGTACCTATAAAAATAGAACACAAAAATAACCCTTAAAAACAAGATTTATTTTACAACTGACTATTTTTATATGTATCTTCATAACTTGATAAAATATAATTTGAAGCTTGTTGCAATAAAACATTATTATCGCCTTCAAATGTACATGATGGGTCATTGTCATTTCGAATAGTACCAAAGCCAGTGGCTATGAAAATCAAAACAGAAATAATTAATTAATTTTAAAAATGCTAAAATAAAGTTTACCATATAAATAACCATGACCTCCACATGCTTCACGACATTCTTGACATGCTTTTTGTGTGTTCCATGTACATATTGCTTTACATGTACATGATAATGCATGAAGTTCTCTACCCATATATGCAAGAGTATCTTGATCGCTTTCATCATTTGACATTGACAAGGCATAGAATTCAGCTAAATTATCGAAGACTGACAATGCTAAATTTCGATAAACATAAAGCGATGCAAGTATTGGAATTAAACGCCAATTCTAAAATAAAATCAGTATTAAATCGAGAAAAAAAATCTTTTTGATTTTTATTCATAAATAATTACTTGAGTTTGATATTCAATAACAGGTATTTCTACACCCGGTGATGGTCCAAATTGTTTGCGAACACATGAATAACGAATAACAATTGTACAACAATTAATTAAATGTCCAATTGCTAAACTACTGATCCCTACACGGCCCGACGAAAGAGCACCAAGACTTGCGCCAAATCGCTTACTTGATGTCTATTAAAAATAATCATGAATTTTTACACGAATCATCAAACTTAAATATATATATATATATATATATTAGCACACTTTGATGGAAGATGTATGAAATCAAAAGAAAAACGCGCTGCTCGATTAGTGCACACGACAGAGAAAGAAAGAGATGACGACGCATAATTCTTTCTCATACAGAGCCTACTGAAATTTCTAGCACTCTAATTATTTAAATGCATACAGATGTTCAGATAAAAGATAACGCATTTCTTTCAAACAAAAATTATGCTTATTACCTTAAATGGAGTTTTATAAGTTCCATCAGGTAAAACATCACCATGTTTATCCAGTAAGTTTTCTCTTGGAATTCGATAGTTACGAAAAAGTAAGAAACTAAAAGCTCAATACTTTTATATGTTAAAAAATAACTCAATCGCTTTCATACCCATTATCAATACCATTCCATCCACATTTGGCTCCAATGTCACCAGCTTCAATGCCATCAAATGTTTTATATGTCAATAGGTCACTTTCATTAAAAAACAAGAATAAATAAACAGAAACACATACAAAATCTAATCATGTTAATAAATATTCACCGAATCGGTACAAAAAATGGATGAAGACCATAGCAAGTATTTTGAGTATAAAGTTGTGCATAGACAACAGCATGTGTTGCTTGATAGCCCAAATTACTAATGATAACTTTTCTAGTTGACTATAAAAGAAAATAATATTAAAAACTTACCCAACCCAAAATTTCATTGCTTCAATATCTGGTGTATTTAAAACAAATTCCTATGATAAAAATATTCATTTCATATCAAAAACAAAACAAAAATATTTACCTGAGTTGATGGATCATAAGTAGCTGTTGTTCGCATTTCTTTTGTATTACTGCCATGTGCTAATTCCGTTAAAGCAAAACAACCAAAAATCTAATTTAAAAATAAGTCTTTTTTTAAATTTGATTCAAGCATTAAAAACAAACCCATCTCTCTTACTTGATGATTTTGATCTAAATTTAAAATATATTCATGTCGTTTTGTTCCTAATGTTCGAATTGTTTCACGAAATACTGTCATTGAAAGTGCATATTTTGCATGACATGATGAATCATACATAGCTAAACATTGTTCAAGAACAATTTTATGTCGTGGATTGTCGAACATTTCATCATCCGTTAATAAATTAGCTTTTATTAATTCTTTAGTACGTTGGTATGTTAAATGTTTATATTCATCGATTGATATAGGAAATTGTGGTTGTCGAAATATTGCTTTGGAATTTAATATAGACCAAATTTTTGCCTGAAGATACAAAAAAAAAGATAGGAAACAAAAAAATAGAACAATTTCTTTGTACTCGATAAGCTTGTGATGATTGATCTTCAAATATGTTTAGCATACGTTTAGTACAAAACGATGCTCGACTACGATATTCATCAAGCATGGTGGCACTTGTTCCAATATGCGATTTACAAGAATAGAAATGTTTTGATAATTGTTAAGAAAAAAAAGTTAGCTGTCGTCGTCGCGCATCACCGATGAATCTGATTGGAGGTTCGTTCGAACAAATCAAATCGTACATATAAAAATAATGAATTCAGCAAATATTTCAATAATAAAGAAGTTCTCTTTGAAAACTATTAATATGAAAGCACTTTTATTAAAGAGGTCGCTGCCTTTGCCTATTATCAATCTATTGCTTTTAAAGAATTTTATGAATTTGAGTACGTACTAAGGTCAGTACTCAAGTCGATGATATGAGTAGTTGAGACTTGAGATAAGAAAGTTTGAGTACTATGCTATTTTAATCAAAATAGAACACATCTATACGAAATGTAGATTAAATAAATAATTTTTTCACGTGCACAGAATCCTTATGCATCTCTGTATATTAACATCTATACAGCAGGTGAATGAAACAATGATCTCATTTTTCTGTCAATGAAATAATAAGACTAATCCTTTTGAACATGAAGCGTCTTCTCCCATAACCTTTTAGGTATTAATTTTTCTTCAGAAAAAGTTTTTGCTTGTTGTACACGTTATAAATATTTATATGCTATTCTTAATAGTTATTTGAAATTTCTTCTTGTTATTTTTCAGTACCTTCAAAATAGATTTATTTGACACAAACTATCTAGAGAATCGATTCATATTCATTGTGAATATTTATATTATCATTACTGTTGACATTATTGAGAAACCATTTTTTGATAGATCACTATGCAGAATTAGGATTTTGCTCTAAATAAGCTACATAATAAATGTGTTTCATCTTTCATTGACATGGAAATATTCAATAGAAGAAAAGAAAACATCAATGATCCATTAAGCGTGCATTGATACAATACTTCTGTTGTAGAAATATCTCAATCAATCGCTCGATTTCATTCAAATCATTGGTTAGTGCATGTTATTGAGTATCGATTCGATACTATCGAAAAGATCGAAATAAATCAATGTTCAAGGTATATCCAACTTTGTCAAGAGAAGTTATCGTATAGATATGCACTGATGTTGTTTGAGTTTTTTTCCTGTGTGAAGAATGAAAAAAAAATTTCTTATCTCACAATCCTGTGATCCAATATTTTGCCGTCAGTCAAATATTGAAGTCACGAGGCTGTGGTTATGTACTCAGTGATTTCATTTTGTGGTGTGGTAGTTTATTTATACAGTTATTAATTAATACGATAAATTCAAAATATTCTAAGTTTATTATTAGATTTGGTTGCATCCTTGTTACTCTAATAATTATTTGAATAAGAGTAGCTTCGTAAGACAGAAACGATAATTTCTTATGACATCTGTTCACTTTCCTGACAATTTCCTTGTTAATGCATTTTCCGCATCATTCTATTATTGAGATCCCAAAATAATAGATCAACTGCATTTTTTCCAAGTGGAACCCTATCTCTTAGGTTGTTAATTTCGCCGAAGACAAAGTGTGAAAAACAAATAGTTTGACTATTTAGAAAGAAAAAAAATACTAAAATTGATTGTCTCGTACTATTTCATTAAAAAAACAGTCCATCTCAAAAACGAAACATACAACATACATACAGAACAAAAATTTTGTCTAGACAATAAAATAAGAAGATTTGCTAGAAATTTCTTCTCTATGGAACAAAAACAACATATACAATGACTATTGGTATGCGTGCAGAATTATATCAAAATAGTAAAGAGGAAAAATAAAGGATCACAGTAATATCAAGAAAAAAGCTAACTAACACATATTCATTTAAATTACTTTGGAGATAATAACCGTGCCTTTTCAACTTCTTCTTCTAAAAATTTTTGTTCTTTACTTCGTTGAAATGTTCGACGGAACCAGTTTTGAAAGGTCTTTGTTATATGTTTATAACCTAGACCATCTGGTGCACCACCTTTTCTTGCGTCACTAACAGCCCATAATTCATCGGCATGTCGACGTTCGATGGCTTGAACAACACATCCACCACGAAAACTTGATATTGTATGACCTCTCGCTAAAAGACCGTGTACGACATTCTATAAAACAAAAAATGAAATAAAAAGCGCCTACAAGATTATTTTCAATTATACCACAGGAAAACGTTTTTCTAATTCAATTTCCATTGGAATAAGTTGTTGATGTAAACGAGGCATATCCACAGCATCACGAATACTTTTACCAAGCCATAAATTATAGATAGCTACTTGAGCAACAGATGATATAATTCGACTACCACCTGAACCACCGGCAATAAATATAACTTCACCATTTGAATCCGTAACAACAATTGGACTCATCGATGACATTGGACGTTTAACTAAAACGATAATTATTTATTTCGAAAATTATAGTTCCTTTTTTTGTTTCTTCTTACAAGGCTGTATAAAATTAGCAGGACTTGGAGCATAACCATAGTAGTTAGATAAACCGGGTTGTGAGAAATCGTCCATTTGATTGTTATAAATAATTCCTTTTAAAAAAAAGAAACAAATAGCAAGAGTTTTAATAATAGATTCTTTTCTCAACAAGATTATTTACCTGTATTACGCCCATAAACGAAAGCACCAAAACTAAAATAGTATTGTATCCTTAGTTTATACTATTTCGAAAATATATTCAACGTACTCAGTATTTATGGTACTTGTAACGGCAACTGCATTACCATCAGAATCAATAATAGAACAATGACTAGTTCCATGATCTTGAAAACAAAACTTTACAATGTAAAAAAAAGGTTATTTTTAATGTTCTTTAGACATACCGGTTTGCGGTTCAAACATAGGTTCATAGTACGCGAGAGGTTGTGTTTTGTGTTCATTGATTCGTTCTCGAATTTCCTCTGCATATTCAGGAGATAGAATAAGACTTAGTAACTAAATATAGGAGAGCGCGAATGAGTTTTTATGTAGTGTTCTTTCGGAGGAGAATTTTTGAAATCTTAGGAGAGTGATAAATACTCAATGAAAAAGAACAAAGCGTAAAAATATTATGTGGTGATTGATATCGATGTAATTGAAATATTCAATATTACAAAAAGAAACAATTTGTCATAGATCGGTCGCTAACAAAAAACAAACTATGAATATTGAGCGCTAAAAGGCAAATTTATCAGCTAATAACATAGAAAGTAGGTTTAGATTTTGACATTAGGCTTTTTCCTAGTGTTTTCTATCAATCAATGAGATTGCGAAAATGAATCAAACAAAATAAAATGAAAAATAGTAAATAATTTAGATTCTTTTGTGGTTTACACTATTGCACTCTCAGTGTTTTCTTATGCATAATTAGTCTCTATTAGAAAAAAAACTATAACGTTAGTATAAGAAGATTGATAGACAAGAATAAAGCATGAAAAATGGATCAAGTTCTGGACAACATCTAAAATTTTGTTTTACATTATTTATCGTTTGATTTAGAGGGCAAATTTTAACTGACAATAAATTATTCTCCATGTTAGAGATCACATAGCTACTAATTGAATTGCATACCTGTTCAATGCCTTTATTCTTTTCAGTTTGCGAATCATATTCATCTCCCATAGCAGATCGTTTTCCATATGCGAATTTGAATGATTCATTAAGAATATGATAAAATCTCACTTGTTTTTCATCACTATCTAACGAGTGTGGCGTTAAACCATAACCTGAAATATCAATAATAAGTTTTTTCATCTTTACAATTCAGTGAGTTTTCTATTTCGTTACTCACCATCCATTACTTTAAGAATAAGAAGAGTTATAGCTGAACTAGCTGGTGGTGGAACACCATAAGCAGTATAATTGTCGCCTAATGTAGTTTTAACAGCTGGTTTTACTCGAGCTTCATAAGTTCTTAAGTCATGTCGATTAATAATTCCTCCTTGTTCTTGTACTTCTGCACAAATTAGATCTGATAATTCACCGTCATAAAAAACACTTGGTCCATGTTCAGCAACCATTGTAAGTGTTTTGCCAAGACGTGGCCGATAAATAGTATCACCTAAACCATAAACATGATCCGAATCACCTTTGAAAAATACTCGTCTAAAAATATAAAAAAAAGATCAACGGTATCATTGATTTTTATTTGTATTTATTGTTTTTTTTTCTAAATAATAACCTAAATGCTTTTTGTTCCCATAATTTATCTCTACATTTAAGTATTGTAAAAGCCAATGCTTTCCGTATTTCAAAGCCTTCATTACACATCTCGATTGCAGGTTTAAACAAAATTGACCATGGTAATTTGCCGTAAAGTTGATGAGCTTTCCAAAAGCCAGCTATTTCACCGGGAATACCAATAGCTAAACCGCCTACGCAAGAAAATCCAACAAACTATGTCAGTTAATTTATGCAAACAAAAATATTTACCATGAGTAGATGACGGGGGTGGATTTCCGTCTATAAACATTTTTTGATGAGCTTCTGATGGTGCTGCTTCACGTGCATCGATAGCTATACCTTCTTTACGTTGACTAGAAAACAAAAAGATTTAAAAATGAATGTTCATTTTGTTATCTATTGATTCATTTACGGATCATAGATATTCATGAGAAATCCACCACCAATTCCGGTCGAATGGCAATTATGTACGCCAACACAGAGAAGAACTGCAATAGCAGCATCAACTGCAGAACCACCTAAATTTAAAATTCGTCTAAAATATAAAAATAATTAAATTAATTAAATGAAAAATAAAACTTGATAATTATTAGTTTTTACCGGCCAACTTTTGAGGCTTCTTCGGAATCAGCAGCAACAGCTCCATGTTTACATCTCATAAATGATGATTCACCTTCAAAACCATAATTTTCTACACCGGGTAAATCAATGTGAAATTCTAAAAATAAATTGATACAAATAGTTTTTTCTTATTAATGACATATTTCTTACTGGGGGGAACAACGTCATCAGCTAAAGTCGACGATGATAATGAAAATGAACGAGAAGGCTTATTAAAAACTTTAATCTAAAAATGAAGAAACAAAAAACACCCATCAAGTTATTTCCGTCTAAAAAATTAATGATATCTATATTTACTTTGGTTAAAAATCGTCTTGCTGCCATAGAAAGAGGATATTTACTAAGTAGTACTATATTAGGCATCACAAACGCAGAATATTTTAAAATTCTAAAACAAAAACAAATCGATAAAGATCTTTTTACGATTGATCGGTATGAGAAAATGAATAGAATAAGAAAAATTTTCTTGTACTATTTTTATCCTTGTACTTGGGATTTTTTATGCAGAATATTTTGCATCATTTTTTTCTGCATTTCTACTCACGAGAGTTTTTGTTCCGATGTATGTTAGTGTGTGATTATGGTTCCAAAGGCAGTAACGCTCTTTGTTATGCCACACTACCAATGAAAACTGATTTTCTCTTATACTACATTTTCTCTTTTTTGCCTTTTCTTCTCACAGTAGCCAACGTGCATGTTTTTGCTTTCACCATCTCGCATTTTCGTAGCTAACTTCAATAACAAGTTTACTTGCTACTACTCTTTTTTTTTGGTGATCGCTCAAGAAAACAGTGTACAAGCCATCAAGAAGAAAAATTGAATTCTATTATTGACACTTCTGGTGTTTTAAGTGTAACGTTGATGAAAAGTGAGAATAATAAACTTTTTTTGATTGTGACCTGTATAAATAACCTGCTTTTGTTCTACAGATGTCCTTGAAATAGACTGGAACAAAAAAAGACATAAATTTGTGGTCAAGTAAGCAATGGAATACGCAAAAACATTTATTTCAACAAAAAAAGAGAAGAAAGCGCACGTAATTATTAATTTAATCATTGAACAGGAAGAAAAAAAATGAAACGAACGTTCTACATTTACGAGAGAAGTTACTATAACATGAATTAATAATGAAAAACATCACTTTCAAATATATATATAGATTGAGAAAGAGAGAAAAGCTGCTATATTTTTGCGTGCCACCCACGAATAATGCTGACGGTGATAGATGATAGAACTTTTCTCTTCCTTTTTTATTCTTGCTCAAAAACAGGAAGCAATAGAACTAATAAGTCTAATAAAACGCAATATGCGCGGATGCAAGTCCGTCCAAAATATGATCGACGTTTCATAAACATGCAATGACAGTAATCAAATTGCCTCCATTTTTTAGAATAACTATTATAGTGAACAAAAAAAAAGATTATAGTAACTAATCAATAGATCCAAAAAGGAATCCTTTGGTTATTTTTCCTGTTTGGCTCTCTAATGATTTTTCGTTAACTCTATTATAATATGTTATAAATCTATCATTAGATCATTTATTCAATGTGACTAGTTTCTTGAGAAGTATGGTCTATGTGAAGTTAATTAATTCGAATCATGTTCATCAATCACAGAATAATCGCAATGATCGTTGAAGGAATTTTGACAATAATAAGAAAACTCACAAACTAATTCTATTCTTGAACGGGAGCGATAATAATCATATAATCTATTCTTAATAATTGTGTCGAGTCATATTCCTTTGTTGTTGTTGCTGTTATTTTATTCAAATTATTAATATTGGCATAGTCAGCCAATCATTATCGCATAAGACGATTAAAATAACAAGGACTTTGCTTTAAATACTCTTATTGATATTTTATAACTATGACCAATGATTACTTTTTTCACTTAGACGGTTTCGTTACATATTTTTGAGAAATAAAACAAATCCTTACCTTCAAAACATGTCTTAATTAGAAATCTTAGAAAAAATTAAACAAACATAAAAAATGCTATAGATCAACAAGGACTTCAATAGAAGACATCTTTACTGAAAAAATATGTCGTAACAATATACAAAGAAAAATTTCTTTTATCTAATTATAAAAGAGAAGATTAACCATTTTTTTAAGGAATTCACGAATCATGAAATGAAAATATGCTCTCCATGTAACACATGTATTCGAAACCTATTGAAAAAATATAGTCATAGTCATGTAAAAAGCGAAACTCTAAATGCGTATATTTTCAAATCAGACTTGATAACTTTAATATATTAACTCAATTTTTGAATCCAATTTCTCAGTAGCATCAAATTTTTCAGTGTATTGCAAATTTATATGCATGAAAGATAGAATATTTCAATGTAGAATATGCTCAAGAAACTTTGTAAGACTCTAACAGAGAAGAGAGGAGCTGCTTATAAAATGTTTCTTTTTACTATTTTCCAACTCACATTTTGCACTGCATGAAGTTAACCAGATAAAGAAAAAGCAAATTTGCGCTTGAGGAAGCACGATAAGATTTGTCTGTAATTAATTTTATTTCTCGAAAGAAACATTTTCGATCTTTACTACTGAAAAAAAACAACAGACTAACGTGTAAGCCAAAGTATTTATAATGAAGATGCAATTACAGTGTGCATGTGTTCAATTTCTTAAAAGCATTTCTTTTACATCTAAAATTAACAATTGAAGCCGAAGAACACCTCCGGTTGCTTGAAATTGATGTCACCCAAGTTTCCAGAACAGTTCTTTTTCATTTGCAATACACGAGAACTACTACAAGTCATTAACTATGTAGGATTCAACATAGAGTCGTATAGTACGCGACATTTCTGCGACAAATTTTGATAAATCTTCTTCAGTGTCATACATTTATTATTGAGCGTCAGTCTTTTAAAAAAAGATTTGAAATTTATATAAAAAATAGATTTGATTGTTTTTATAAACTTGAGATGAAATACAATGAAATGAGTGCCTGAATACGGTAAGAGTTTGATTCGTTCTATTTTATTCTGAATATAATATAAATCTATTACAGATCGCATCGAACACGGAGTACTTTATTAATAACAAACATCTCGGAGATTAGAGAAAAATGTTTACTTCACGAAAAAGTGAATTATTGAACGTCATCAAATTGGTTTCTATTATTGCTATGACATAATCATATCATTCATGGTTAGAACAAAACATTTGTTGTCTTTTGATTTCAAGAGCTTATTAAAAATCTCGAGAAAAGATCTGACGTTATCACTTAGTTTAGATACTATGATTAACAATGCTATCAACATAATGAACATTATTCGATCAGCTTTGTTATGCAAGATATGAGAAACTTTTTTCTTTTGAGTGTCCTTGTGAAAAAGACTAGTTTCGAATATGTCGAGAACACAAACAGTAGCATTGAAAAATTTAATTAAGTGACACAAAAAACACGTCTTTATTTTAGCCTTCTCGAATAGAAAATAATTCCATTCAATTTTAAATGTTTCTATGTAATAGTTCGTTCTTTTTCTTCCTTTTCTAACGGCACGTTGCGTTATTCGAGCTAATGTTCTACTCAAATATCTGAAATAACAATGAGTATAGAGTTCACTATTCATTTTTCTGAATTTACCATCTATTAATTCAATCTACAAAAATTTTTCGATAGAATTTATTTGAAAAAATGATCTTAATTAACATATAATATATTGATGAATATAAATGATTTAGTTACATAGAAACTTTCATGAAATAGTCTTGTACTACCATAAATTTATATTGCACAAGTTCTACTCGTTACGGAAGTCCATCAGAATCGTAAATCGTCATAAAAGATTTTACCAACCGAAGTTTTTCTTGAACTTGGATCAAAAAGTTTTTGCTATTTAATCGGAGCAATTTATTATTTGGAACAATAGTGTAGAAATAAAATGAATTTTCGTTATAGAACGTTGTATAGAATAAATTATCGTCAGCATATTACAATCAATCTTAACTTGAATAATTAGTTTCATGCTGATGTGAAAAAACATAATTTTGTACTGAGCTACTCAATTGATAAAAAACCCACAATATATTTATTGTCAGAGTAAATTACAATTATTATTGTTTCGTCATTATAATCTATAGAGAGAAATCCCTAATCCATATGGATAATTAAGATTTAGAAAATTGAAAACTGTCCGCTTAATACTCTTCAAACAATAAAAATAGAATTAGATGTAATACAGATACAATGAAATTTATTTTAAAATATTTAGCCTTGCTTTGCTAATTTCATGGGTAGTATACCATATGATTAATATAGAAAAAGCTGAATTGCATGTTCATTTTTGCTCGGACGTTTTTTGAAAAATATACATGTCATTATTCAGGTTTGCCTGAGTTGACTTTCTCACAAATACGAAAGCGAAAATATATTTGAATTCAGCTTCAGGCGCAATTACAGTACGCAATGATGAATGAATAAATGACAGGTAAGCAAATGAGTTTTGGTAAGGGTTGAATTTTTATTTAGTTTTTAGTATACACCAAGACAATATGACCTCAAATTACGAAAAATAATAACACAAACAAATCTGTGTGTGTGGTATGAATATAACTGCGTATATTTGTTGCTCTTTCGTTCTCAACAGCGTATAACAACGTCGTACATCGATCACACTCGTCAAAAAGTGCGATTCGTTTGTGTTTGGTTATCCTTGACTAATCATAAATATGCGCAGTTCAGTTAAAAGCATCATGATTTATCCGAATCACAATGCACAGCATCATTGCCATTTTCGATATAGAGTAAAGCAAAAATACATCATTAAAATTTTATGAAATCATAGTACATTGTAGTATAAAAAGTTCGAAACAAGTAGAAATCTAATTGGAATAAGAGAATATTCGACATAGTTCAATACAAATAGAAAAACGTTACTATCTTAAGAAGAAATTCTAAATAACAATTATTCTTTTCAGTCTTAAGATAGGGGGATAATCAGTAAACTCTTCACTGATAAATGTAAAGCGTGGTGGCAATTGCACGTAGTATGACCGTGAAGCTGTGTCATTTGAATATAAAACCAAGAAACTGTATGAAAAAGCTAACGAAACTAATAACCTGTTTGATATTGATCGATGAATTCTTTCTAGTGATTATCAACATCAGATAAATATCATGCGGTCTAACTTACCAATAAAACTAAAATATGAATAATGTACCATGGCATTAATCTACTAGTTGCACGAATGTTATTCGTCTTTTACGATGTAATCAGTCATTTCAGCACGAATACATTCTACAATACGTTGAGTATCCGAAAGTTCATATTAATACTCATGTATTTACAAATTCTTCAGTAGCAAGGAAACATTGATCGGAATAAAATCAAACTTATTCATTGCATATAGTTTGCAGGTCTACACAACGTATCAACACTAAAAATATTGTATAAAATGATTTGTCTTTATTGTGAATGTAAGATAATATTACCGTTGGTATTTTCCTAAGTGTAAAATCATGAATTAGAAAATAATACAATATATATTTACTTTATCTCATTCGATTTTGCTCTATTGAATCTAGCACGAATAGTTCGAATGATTTGAATATTGTAAAAGATGATAATAAGTCCTCCCGTCACACAGCCGAGTATAGTAACTTGTTTTCCAGAACTTGCCAATGAAAACAATTTTTGTTTAAACTATTTTGATCGATTTGAGATACCAGAGACAAACTTACTGTGATCACATGTTTCTCCATCCGACCAAAATTTACATTCACACGCTATGTCTTCGTGCATGATATAATAATAACCATTTGGTCTAAATTTATTTGTCGTAGAACAATTTGAGACGGATTCAATAGAAAAAGCGAAAACAAAATTTATAATTTATAATTCACTGATTTGTTCAGTGATCATAAGTGATAATCAAAAATATTAATATGATTTCTAAAATCAGTTTTTCTTATGTAGTGATACTTTTTTGCTATATATCTATTTCTGCCTGTTCATTGATTTTACAAAAAAAAGAAAATATGATGTAAACCTGCATATCATGAATGGTGATACTTTTACTCCTGGCTGTATCTTTCTTCACTGAATAATCATCGGCAGGCACCAATAAGTACCTGACTTATCTTGAGAACTATCCTCAATTGTAATAATTAGTTATAAGAATTAAATGAAACTGACCAAATATTAAGAAAAAAATGCATTATTTACAAAGATGTTTCGATTCCTGAAATAAACTTTTAGCAAATAATTCTCTTTTATCATATTTCTATTACAAAAGCGATCCAATGATGCATGATTCAAGTCAATAGGACATAATGAAAAATATAATCAATATTTAACGTCATTGAAACAATTATTACATTATTTTTTTTTATGTTCAGATTTCAAAAATCATTTGATAAAATATAACCATGAACTATTTTCATACGCTACAGTATAGCTTGATAGCATCAATAAAAAAGGTTGTTAAATAGTTTGTTGTAGTTTTCTTAAGATACTGTTCGAAAAATCTAATAATTTTACAGTATAAAATTTATTTAATGTAGTTGATTTAATTCACATGATGTACCAGCTAGTTTTTCTACCTTGAAAATAATAATCACTTTTTTATTTATTTCAGATTGATCATGCTCATTCAAAGCATTGTAGTTCATCATACATTGTACTATTGGATTAAGACGAAGAGAATAAGATCTCCTATAGCTTTTTCTTCTATTCATTGAAGTAAAATTTGTTGTCACGTCTTTACTAATATAATATAATTGCATCTTTCTTCTCTTTAATTAAATACAGTAAAGATTTGCTTGTAATTGAACCATATTATCTGCTATGAATTTTGTAACAGATGCCTGAAATTAAAAAAAACTAACATTAGGATCTTGTTGTATAACTTCGTTTATTCTGATTTATTGTATTTTGTTTTATTAACAAATGAATCTATTGTTTATTTTCATAATATTACAAAAAAATAGAAAATTTTGAGTTAATGCGGTGGATAAGGAGGTGGCATATTTGAAGGATAAGTATGCGGAAAAAAACCACTTCCGCTATTCGGTGGTAAATTATATGATGGTGGCATAAAATATGGATATTGAGGCATTTGCCCCTGGTATTGAGGCATTTGTCCTTGGTATTGAGGTATTGGTCCTTGGTATTGAGGTATTGATCCCTGGTATTGAGGTATTGGTCCCTGGTAAGGGGGGATTTGACCCTGGTATTGAGGCATTTGTCCTTGATATCCTATGTTTCCTGGATCTCCAATATTATGCGTAGGCATCTGCGATGAATTTGACATTCTATAAAATATTAAGTAAAAAAAATCTACTGAAATAAACTTGAAAAACGAACTCTAAACGAATATCTCGTCGAACGTGTTCATTTTTAAAAGGATGAAACCAATTGTTAGGCCTTTGACGAACATGTTCCGATGTCCAATTTTCTCGAAATACAATGGTACTCAACTCTGAAGGATTAATAACTTTCATTTGACTTTGCATAGCAATTGTATTAAACATATATTCAATAAATGGAAGAAAACGTCTTTGCTTGGCATAATTTCCAATTGCATCCAATAATCTTCGACTACAACCAATAGCACAAACCATTGAATGATACCATGGAGGTGAAAATTTCCCAACTACATCACCCCATTTCCAGGTTGATGTATCACCGTATAAATTTTCATCGTTTTTCTGACAAATTAAATCTCCACTACTATGTCCTTTTGAATATTTATCATGTAACGAAAAAAAAGCATCAACTGATGGAATAAAACAATCATCTTCAATAAGCCAGACAAATGAATAATCATTTTGTTTTATATGACAAAAATAATATAATGCTTTATCCCATGATATACAATCTTTGTTCATTTCAAGTTTATTCGACGAATGATAACCATTTGATATACATTCATTGTTATTGATTTGAATAAAATTTATTAATGAATTTGCTTGTATCTGAAAATTATTATCATCGATCATAATACAAATATCAACATTGGACGATAGCCGAGAATCCCGTGCTAATTGTTCAGCAAATTGAATTGTTTCAGAGTCAGGTGTTCGAGTTAAGTAACAAACAGCGCTTTTTTTGCTATTCATTTTTTCTTTTTTTTTCTTTATGTTAAGCTTATCTGGTTAAAACATCGAGATTTATACAAAGACAACAAAAAATAATGACTGTTAGATAAGAAACAACAAAAAAGCACAAGTTTCTTTTTCTATCTCTGCCAAAGACACACAAGTGATTCATATTTTCAGACAGTACTCTAGATATATCCAGTCGAATATTCATCGTTGCTATTTTCACCATCGTAAATTAGTGATGATGCTGGTGACGTTTGTGATGATGACCATTGTAAATGATTTATGTGCTGATTCGTTTTAGAGTCTTTTTGCTGTTCTAAAAGTATAACATGAAAAATAGATTAAGAAAAGGAAAAAAGATCTATAGTTCTTATATTAACCTGTTGATAAATGAAGTGTATCGACAAGATTAAGATTAGTATTATTTGTTAACGTTGCATATGTAGGTGGTGAACTGGTTGTTGCACAAGGTTTTTTTTTCATTCGAGCACGAGCATTTTGAAACCATATTTGAGTTGTTCTTTTTGTTAAAGCTATTCAGATAAAAAAAAAGCAAAGTAAATCAGATAGATAAAATAAGCATTTAAGAAAACGAAAACAAAAAAAAGCAACAAAATTCAATAACGCACTATCACCACTTTTGTTGGAACTTGAACTGCTGCTACTGCTACGTGTACTTCGTCTTCGATGATTTGTTTCTTGCTGAATATAACAATGATGCGAATGAGAATGAAGATGATGTTCGTGCTGAGGTTTTCGATCGCGTACCTTCTTCTGTCGAGCTCGAGTATTTTGAAACCATACTTGAATCACCCGTTTACTTAATCCTAGAACACATCAGATGAAAGATGTGGGTTATAGAATAGCACGAACATCATAATCACGAACAGCAAGAGAAAAATGTATTATCTTAGAATTCGATTAAAAAATTTTTAAATTTACCTCCAATGAAATAGATAAATTACACTAAAAGTATTTTTAAAAAGAGAGAATTTACGAAATGAAAAGTTATTTTTGGATTCGTTGACATTTTAACGCTATCTCAAAGTTTACTATACAAAATAAATCTCATCTCATCTCATCAGACTCGTATAATTATCTAAAAATCATATTCTATATTCATTTGAATATTGGCTCATACACAGCGTAAGATCTAGAAATTCATGGAAAAGAAGCGGTATTGGACACAAGGCTTATTTAGAAGTTCGTCAGCAGTCGTATTATCTCATTTTTGGATTTTTTTCTCGTTGAAAAAAATTCAAAAATATTCCGGAAGGGAGGAGTGATCGTCCCCAGTGTCCGCTTCCGGTCTAAATCCGATATTGCTGAAGCACACAAAATATTTCTCTTGTCGTCTTTGGACTCGCAACAATTTTTGTTAGGATAATTTTTTCATACTATATATATATTCATAACGTTTTCACATTAATTGAAAAATAGTGTAGTCTTTATTATTATTAGATATTTTCTCTTTTTCTAATTGTATGCTTCAATGATTTCCATGTAGCGTAACTCAATTAAAAGGATAACCACACAAAAACTCTCAGTCGAATCGCTATTAGAAAAATTCTAAGATATTTACATTTTTCTATGCGATACAGATTATTATTTAAAAAAAATGATCACCTGTTATTTGAGCAATACGTTCAAGATCTTGTCCGTCTGGATTCGAGTCAACTTCAAAATTTGCTTGTAAAATTTGTAATTGTTCTTCTGTAAATGTTGTTCGTACTCGTTTAGTTTTGCCTTGTTTCGTGTCTATGTTCGATATAATCCAATCAAATTAATAAATATTCGTTTCTATATTTTTACCTCCATCTTTTCCGTCATTGGTTTCATTTGGATCAATAAAATGTGTTTTACATAAAACATGACTACTTTGTAACGCAAATTCTTCGCCAGTTGATAATTGTCGTTTACATGTATTACATGCAAAACAGGCTAAATGATAAACATGATCTCGTGCTCGACGTACCCAATCACTTGGCTGAATATGTCTACCACATTTCGAACATTTATTACCGAAGTGTCTATTCATATACAGAGGAAAAAAAGACAACAGAGATATTTTAAAAAACGAGAGAAACATTTTTTATTTTAGTTTTTACTTATAATAATCTTGTCGACATAAAATTTGTAGACCTTTTAAAAAACATGTTTGCTGTTTATTAAGTGCTATTTGACAAATAGCACATTGTAAACATGATTCATGATAAATTTTTGAACCGACACGTAAATAAAACTGATCATTTATACTAATTTTGCATGCATTACACATATGAAATAGATTTTGATCATCGTCACCACTCTCAAACATCTTTAAAGAAAAATAACATTAACTATTTCAAAATACAAGTTGATTACTATATATATATATATTTACTTGTTCATCTTTAATATCATCCAGCAAAAGTAATTGAGTTAACTAAAGAGGAAATCAACAATCTGATATAAATAGTTTTACTTGAAGATTTTTTTCTTATACCTTGTTAGTATGTACTTGATTATTAACACTTTCGTCATCCATCCGCAAAAATGAATAGATACACTATTGGCCTTCTTTTTTTTTTATTTATTTTCTTTTACTCAACTTTCTCTCTTTCCCTCTCTCTCTCTCTCTCTCTCTTGCTTTCTCTTTTCCGGAAAAGATAGACTCGCTTTTACTTCCTATTGGCTATTATGATGATTATTATGTTGAAAAGAAATGAATGGCAACCAATGAAATAAAATAATAGAAAATAGAAGAATAAAAAACAAGAAAAAGAAATTTCAGTATGGCATCAAAAGTTATCCTAGTTGATCAAGCGCATAATCTCAAGTGTTCAGCAAACATTGAAGCGCCAGAAATAGTTGAACACATGTGATGATTGAAGTACTTTGCTGTAAGCATCTCTTTCTCCTTCTTCTTTCTATCTCTTCAATAAATTGACCGAATTCTCTCTTGACAAGAAAGTTTTACTAATAGAATTAGATTGCGGATTCTCTATGTACATTGTCTTGTAAATGAAACAAAACTCTCAGTTGAGAAAAGACGAAAGTCGCGGGCCCCCAACGGCGATGAAAGAGCAATGCGCATACTCTCGCGCATTGACATCTCATGCCAATCAAAGCTAAAGAAAAGGAAAGGAAAGTGAATCGTGTCGGGTCCGGATACAAGCGTCAGGCTAATTGGAGGGAATGCACAGTTGAATAAAGACACACACACACATAGAGAGACAAATAATGAGCACTAGTGAATGACACAAAATAACAGAAAAATATAAATGCATATCTATATATATGTTTTGTTTTTCTGACATGAGATTCATTTATTATTTTGAATCATATGATTATTTTTTAGAATACTATTTACTTGTTCCTTACATATCATGCTGGCTTAGTTTTTTTCTATTCATTGCCTGCTGAGTATGTTCAGCGAACCTCTTTGACACACTTAAGCTGTTCGTCTATTTTTCTATATATATATATATCTATACAGTTGTTTCACTTGTCCTGGTGGGCAAGCCAACTGTCCCAATGAAAAGAAAAACATATGTAGATAGAACAAGAACGACAACTGTCTTCTTTTTTTTTTTTTTTTACTTTACTTTATTTTATTTTATTTTCTAATACGATGTAATGATCGGGAAAAACAAGATGCCGAGAATATTCTTTTGAAAATTAGCAAATGTTCTTTCGACCGTATAATACGTCTTTCACCGTTGTATGTTTCCTGTTCAACTTGTAATTAGACATCCGAGTTGATTTTATCAAAGAAACTAAAATTTTGATTCACTTTCAATGCTCATCGATTGATCACTAATGGTATGAATTTTATTTTTTTGAAAATCATTTGATTTAATCAGAATTTCTTTCAAACGATTTGATCTGACATGTGATTCTAGCTGTGAATGATCAGCCATTTCTAAATCATATAATACACAAAAAAATAATGTTGAAGTTGCTGTTGAATAAACATTAAGAAATATTGCTGAACTGATATAAACACATATACCAATTGTAAGTATAGGAACCCATGAAAAATGTAAACTCATATTGTTTTGAATTCTATCGAGAATGTATGCCGTAAAAACACATGAACCAATCTGAATATTGGGAGAAAGAAAAAGAATTTGAATTTCTTTCCTTGGAAATTGATAAAAAAAAAAGAAGATTTTACTGTAATTGTTATTCTTCCAATGTGTAAAAGAATGGTACAAACTCGATCGAGCACAAATGAACGTAAACAGTTGCTTAGTAATAATTTTGTTGAAGTAAAAGCTGATGAACAGAACCATCTGCCACTAATTGCTGTCTAGATAATTATTTTATCTTCATAATTTAAAAAAGAATTTTTTTCAAACAGAATGTTATACCATAATGTAAGTATATCTGGAAAAAAATTCAAAACAGCAACGAACAGAATTTAGGCAACTTTTAACTAGAGTTAAACAACATTTTCCATAACTATCAAGATTCAACTTTTCCATTTGATCTTTAATTAAATCGATTAATGTTCGTAATACATCAATGATGGCAATGATCGAACTACCAAATGCAATAGTACCTAAATGATGACGAACTGTTATTGATAAGCCTTGTGAACAAAGACATCTATTAAAATAGCCATGACAATATGTTTCATTTGATTGATTCATTATTTCCCAGTAATAAGCTAAATAAAAACTTTCATTTTTGTCTTTCCCACAATAGTAATTAACTGCTCTAAAAAAAGACGCAATTCTATTCGTATTTTGTTCATCATAGTTTTTATAAAACAAAATTATAGACTTACAAGCAAATGTACATGCTAAAATCATTTCTTCTAGTGCAATCATAAATGCCAATAGCCAATAGATCATAAATATATTAAAAATATTAATAAACCATGAATATCGACTTAGAAATTGAGCCAAACGATGACTCCATATTATATTAAAATAACCAGTAAATGTTTCATCGCCAAAACCATATGATGCATAAACACATCGAATACGATCTGTGGCACAGTTTAATTGTGAAAAATCATCTGGATTACAATTATCTCCTTCATTAAAATCAAAACATGATCGGGGCATTGAACGAATACTTAATTTTATCGTTTCATTTGATTTAACATATGTACGGCTAGATGCATTTCGACATGATTGACCAAAATCTTGACTACAACTTATTTGATAAATAGCTCGGCCCTAATTAATAAATTAAATAGTAAAAATTAAATAAATTTTGTTCATTTTCTTTTACCAAAGTTGAATAATAAGCAATAACGAGAATACCCAAAATAACAAAACAGATGTTTAGAAAAAATGTAATTATGGGCAAGATTAAAGTTGTTAGTGCGTAACTAATCGCTTTATTGGCCTCTTCAATAAGAGCTAAAAGAAAAATAGCCATGTTCTGCAAGCATTATAATACTCATCATAATTCTAACCTGCCGCTAATACAATTCTTTCGTATAGGCAACACGTACAAATAAGTAAAATGCCACACACAATACAACAAAGTATACCTAATAATAACCAAATAATATTAATCGGTGCAAATTGATCTAATAAAATCATAGCTGTATCAAAGTTTTCTAATGAGACTTGTGTTTTATTTATTGAAATTGTACGAGTTATTAGTTTAATATCAATAGTATCCAATCCATTGATATCAAATGTTATATTCATTTCATTTATATTAAGTAGATTACTATTGTTATTCTTATCAGTACTATCATTGAAATATTTTTGCATTCGAATTCGAGCTACAAAACAAAAATGAGCAGCTAATGCAAATACAATAATACATAGTATTAACGATAGCCATATGATCCATCGAGCAAAGTATCGTAATAAGAGCATGTAAATAATAACAAATATCATGGAAAAAGCAAGAGATAATAAAAGTACGTAGCGACTTTGAATTAAATCTTCAAACATATAAGATAAGAGACGTTTTACTTGTAAAGCTTTTTTAAAATATTTTAAACCAGTTTCCATTGAATCTTTAGTTGGTATGATATCTTCGTCAGTCTATATTAATGTTTAATAGAAAACGACTATGATTAGCTAGATGAAAAATAACATACTGTGTTCCCACCATGATTTTTGATAACATCATTTGCTTGATTAATTGTTAAGTTTAACGCTTGAACAATAATCGATGGAATACATCGTCCATAAAAGGCTATCGAAGGAAACGAATAGGGAGCACAAAGCTTTCGTTCTTTGACAAGGCTATAGATAGATATTTTTGGATTTTCAACTTGAGAACGTGCAGATTTTTCACACTAGGATGAAGAAAAATCGAACATTATTTCAGTCGGAGTCAGCAAACACATGGTATAACTATTGCATTATTGGATTGATTTCAATTCTTTCAATTAAGGAAATTATTTGACGAAAATAGATAAAAGATTTTCCGAATCGAGACATCTGAATCTCTACGATCTTGCTCGATGTCTAGTATTTTTTTACCTAAGATTTTGTTTACATCATAACTTAACAAGAAATTCATGAAAATGTTATTCTTATTTCAAAGTAATTATTAGCTGTGGTACGCCGAAAAAGTTTTTACGTAGCATCTGCCATCTTCGCAGACACATACGTATGTAATTTTATTCAAGCATGATATAAATCACATACTGTGAGTTGTGATCGAATTCGTTTAATTCTATTTGCATTATTTGTAGCTAATTTTAATTCTTGAGCATACAATAGTTTATAATGATAAAATTTTGTTGGACATTGTTCGACACACATTTGCGGCGTTGGACATCGTGCACCAACTAAGATATATTTGATACATTTGATAATATCAAAAAATTGTAAATATTTTCGATCGTTTTGAGAACCTACACCACATAAACGACCTTGCGTATCAGTTGGAAATAAAAAACGTCGTAATGAACCTTCACGAAATACAAAGATAGCAAATAGAATATAAACAATAAGAAGAGTGAGGAAGATAAGTAAACATGGCCAATCGGTGCAACCTCGTTTTTTGTTATCAAGTATTGAAAGTCTTGGTGATATATTCGACTGTCTTCGCATTTTACTTTTATTTGAATTTCGACTATTCTAATATATGATTCATTATCTAATTAGATATATTCTTTGACTGAGTCATGATGATTGTAACCAGTTCGACCTTCGAAGAAAAAATGATCAAATGAACGAACATAGTTATTCAAGCTAGCGTCGTTTCAAGCAGTAGTTTATCTTTAACGTAGAGTTCTTATTCTTTTGTGAAAGACACTTCAACACTAAATTCGATGCATCTGGTGTTACATTCATATCTTAATTAAATCAAAATCTTTTTTTCTATTGCGAGATATTCTTCTTACATGAACGACTTTACCCGCTGATTTCTCGAAAATATTTTGATTTCAATATGATTTTCAGACAAAACAAGAATTCCTTAATAACTTATATTTTTTGTTGTTTCTCGTTCCTATGATGAACGCTAAAGTTGATACAACCAATTAGTCATCCTTCGGTTTGTGCTGCTTGAAATTTTGTAATAGGTTAACTTCTATTTGTTAAGTTTTTATTTTTATCCAACTTATTGTTCTCACGTAACTGAATATTGATGAAGTTAAGATTTTAATAAAAAACACAGTGTTTTTTGGTTGTTACAGACTTTGTTTGGTTTTTTGATAACATTCAAAAGAAAACAGCAAATTTTCATACACACAAAACACTGCCAAATGATAAGAAACGAACAAAAAAAAGATCAGATAAATCAAGCACCAGATCATTATTATCTAAGTTGTGGTTTTAGCTGATGTACTAATCATTGCTGAAACATCACCTCTTGTTTTCACATTTCGTAATGAAAATGGTTGTTGTCGATTATTCTCATTTTTACTAACTGTTGGTGTTTTTGTTGTCGTTGTTGTTCTCCGTCTTGAATTATGAAGATGATATTGATTTGACGAAGCTAAAACTGATTTTTGATAATTTAGCAACGGAAACATTTGTGCATGTTGTTCTAATGCATTTTTTGCAGCAGTCATTTCTGCGTCATGAATTGATCGGCCGACGCCAACAGATAGCCGTTGTTTTCGGAAGAAAACACCAACTCTATATTGAACATTATTTGATGATCCGATAGATTTTAATACTCGATATTCAGGTAATGGTGGATTACGATCATTGGGATCTCGTAATGCTAAACAACAATGTTGTAAATTTGATTTCGGATCATTCCAATGTTGTGTTGATATAAAATCTTGTAAACGTGGAAATATTGTAGCACGACAAAACGCATAAATTGATTCTAGGCCTTGATCAATAAATAGCGCAGCTATAAATGCTTCAAATACATCTGCTTTAGCTTTTAGAGATTTTTCAATTAGTTTTGGTGTTGTTATACGAAGTTGTTCACGAACATAATCAACATATACTTGCATGCCTAATTCATCATAAATCACAGCTTGAGTTGGATTAGAAACAGTACATGAACGGAGTAATGATAGATGACCTTCGTGATGTTCTGGAAAATGACGATATAAATAATCACTTACAACAAAATTGAGTACAGTATCACCTAAATAAGATGCATCATTAGATTTAGAATTATATTAATATAAAATAAAGATCACATAGAACAATAAACTCCTACTTAAAAATACTAATATATATATATATATATATATGTACAAACGTATTATTAATAAAGTGATATATTCTACACACACCCACAACTTTGAGGAAAAAGTACATGAGTGGTTGATGTGTCTTCGTCACATCTTTTTCAATGGTAGCCATTATAGCTCTATCTTAGTTCTTACCGAACTTTGATTAGTGCCATGTCATTTGCAAATTGATGAAATCTTGGAAAAATTTAAAACAATTTTATGCCCATCAATTCATATGAAAAGAACTTATCTAGCTTTTTCTATACGTTATTACAGTCTTTCTACAGCAACTATTGAAATACCAACTATGGATGAGAATGATGATTTCAATCACTAATAAAAGTTACAAACTACCAGCAATATATTGAAAGTACCAAAATATCTATAGCAGCATAATTGTGAATTTAAGAGTTGAAACAAATTAAAAGTCGTCGCTTGTAGACTTTCACTATTGATATATAATTATTGCATTTAAATAGTTCAACAAAGATTCATCTAAGTAAAACTATAGTTAGCAAACTTCAATGCATAAGGACACAAATCTTTCCATTATGTCTTAATATCTCGTTAATTGAAGTCTGTACTCTACTGACGTATACAGCCAGGGATAGAGTGTATTTTGATAGTACTTGAAACAGGGATATTTGCGTTTGACGACACATCGATGTTAGTATAATCAATCACGGTACTAGTAAACTTCCTACTGACGAAAAGAAAGCGTATTCTACCTTACCAAGAAATTCTAATCGTTCATTATCCTCAATTGTTAAATCATTTTGAGGTATTGGTCTTGTACAAAAAGCTTGTGCTAACATTCTAATATGTTGAAATTCGACGCCAATATCATTTTCAAATTGTGTCAATTGTTTTAACAAGGGTACTTGTTCAATTAAATGACGATCACTATTTGGATATTGAACTTTTAGTGGATACTCTTGTAGATTAATCCATATACTAGTTAACTGTGGATCTTGATAGAAAAGAATTTTTGATAAAATTTTATCAACAATAGCCTGAAAATAAAAACCAATGAGAAAAGTTTTTTTTAATTAATTTTTTTACCAATCCACCATCAAGATAAATTGCACCCATTAAGGCTTCAAATGAATTTGCTAATGCATGATTCAATGCCGAATGTGAACATAAATCTGGCCCATGATTATAAATAATAAAATGTTGTAAACAAAGATTTCGTGCTAATGATGTAAAAAAATGATTTTGAATTAAACCAACGCGAAATGTTGATAGGCGACCTTCATCAAATTGTGGAAATAAAAAGAATAAATGTATTGAAACAAGATATTCTAATAAAGCATCGCCTAAATATATATATATAAAGAGATAAAATAAAATACAATGAACTATTTTCATACTGACCAAGAAATTCTAAGCGTTCATAATTTGTTATTTCAGATATATGTTCACATGTTTTAGCTTTTTTAGCCATAATTTTAAATAATGTTGATACTCCTCGTTTAGTTATTGGTCGAAATAATTGTTTTCGATCACCATAAACTGTATTTCGTATTCGACAATTTGCCTTAAAAATAAAAAGAACGAATAAATTGCTTATTGCAAAAGAAAAATGGAAACATAAATTTAAAAACAAAATAAATCATACTAGAGTATTTTTGACATGATCTGGATTGGGACCTAGATTATTATGTAAAACATAGTTTCCACTTGGATGTGTTAATGCTAATTGCATTAACCAGCGATTCCTAAATTTATAACCAACTAATTCATCTTCTAATTCAGTTAATGATTGATGAAACCGTAAATGATCATGTAATGATGATAATAATAATGTCCGTTGAATGATATCAGATTTAAAACCAGTACGATATGCATATTCCGATGAAATTTCTACAACAATTTCACGCTTTAACTGTTCAGCATGCTTAGCAACGATTTGTTTTAAACGTTGTTCCTTATCGCGTAGATTCGCTTTATCTTCATCAGTTGGTGTACGATTTTTTAAAAGAAAAAATACTTTTAAATAAGACTTATATGCTTGTCGATATTCTTGATTATATTGAATAGATAAAACAGCGGGACGAATGCCTAGAAAAAAGAATAATCATTCAGAAGTTTATTTCGCTATGTTTTCAATTAGATGCGGATATATTGTTTCCGCTGATAGTAATAAGATTATTGACATTTGCCATGATAACGCTATGTAGTTTGCAAAAAATGATTGAACACAAATGGTATAGAGACGGATTTGAAGTCTTGTAGGCGTAGATATACAGCAAAGCAACGGCATGTTAGCTAACTGGAATCAATAGCAGTCTTTCAGATTGGTTTACCAAAAAATCTAACTTTCAAAATTTTCTTTCATTTAGTAACGCGAACTGTTTGTCTCTTCTATAAGCTGATACTCATTGAATGATTTGTAATATTATTATTAGATCCATATTCTCAAAAATATCCTACGCAAATCGCCAAACTTTTATGAAAGTTTGATCTTACCAAAATGAACAATAACTGGATAAGCACTGTTCTCTCGATCAAGTTGATCAAGTCGAATTGCAGCTGGACGATGCTTTGGAAACCACACAATAGAACCTTGAACTTTCGATACATATTTATCCCAAGCATCAACAGACATCGATTTACATCGTGAATATAAATCATCAGGCATTAAAGGTTTAAGATGTTTAAGAAAATACTGTATTTGTTCAGCTGGATGAAGTAATTCTTTTCCATTATCAGGTAAAGTACGTGCAAAACGAGGAAAAAAATGATAGCATGTACAGGTTGACCCATCATTTTTATTATTCAATGGTCGCCATTGAATATCATACATTTCACAAACATCAATAAGAAGATATTGTTGAAGAAGATCAAGTTCTTCAATTGTAAAATGTTCTAATGGAGTTTCTTCTTCTAAACCAATTGCATAATCAATATTATGATAAACAACAATACAGTCATTCACCTAAAAAAAGAAATGTTTTTCTTTGATAAAAAGAAAAGAAGAAACAATGTTCATTTACATTAGCCAATGATACATGAGAAAGAACAGAAAAACCTTCGAATGTATAATCATGATCATCGTAAGTTATCACTGTTGGTTCTTTTAACTAAATAAATAAAATACGTTTTTTGTTTTGTTTATTTTAGGATATGAAAAAAAAAACTTACATTAAAATTCGTTTCTGGTGTTAAAGTAATACGATAATGATACAGTCGGCCAGCATTATTATTCCATTTGTCGCATGGTGTTATTGTCTTGAAAATAAAATGATAATTTTTCTATGCGTTTATTTTATCGACGGGAGAGTTAACCAGATCTTTGCAGAGAAGCCTCTCTCTCTCTCTCTCTACTTTCACACTCTATACATACCTTTTCGCCAAAAAACATCTGATGTCGAATACCAAATTTACGATCATCATTACTACATCGACATATAGGACCATCATTACCCTAAATACTCTACTTGTAAAATAATTCACTATAAAATGTCTTGTTAAACCTGTTTATATTCATTAAACCAAAGTTCAGGATGCAAGCGATTCACCACCTGCTGTTTACGTTCAATTTCTAATGTCAGTAAATTATCGCTGGCTAAACTTGCTGCTGTTGCTTCACCCTCTTCTTCGCCTTCTTCTCCACTTTCACTTGATGTATCTAAATAAAATTTAAAACAAAATAGAAACTATTCAGCGAATATCCATCCTCAGTTACAGAAATTTGCTTTTAGTTAACAGTTAGATTTCGATAGAATCTAGAAAAACTTCTAAATGTTTCCGCAAATTCGGTAGCTCGAATTATTTTGAGGTTTTTGTATAATGATCAATATTAATCTTGTAAATAAAATATCAACTGAAAATCATGCCGACAGCCCAAAAATTCTTATTTCTTTCCTCTAAGAAATGAAAATACCTTTGGATTTTGTTTGAGTTTTACTAGGTTTTATAGTAGAACCAAATTGTTTTGCTTTATGAAACATATTTGAATGATCAGGTTCATCAAAAATTTTATTTTCTTTACGAAATGTTTCACGTTGAGAAAGAATATCAGAGCGAAATTTTATACAAAGATCTTTCAATTTTTGCGTTGCATGGATTAAACGAGAGTTCTAAAATAATCAACATAATAATAAGTATCACAAAAACAAAACAAAAGCTAATTCGTACTTGTTCATCACGTTGATAATAAAGCTCTGATGCACACGTACGTACATATTGCGGTTTAATTTTTGTTATAGATATTTCATTTGTATCTTCATCAGAACTAGAACTAGAAAAAAATTCCACATTTAATGACTGTACATTATTTTTTAAGAGAATTTGTCCTACTCATGATATTCATCTTCAATTTTACTATCATTTATTCGACGTCTTTTTGATACTGGTGAAACGGGTTGTTCACGACGTGGAATATTTCGATCATCATTACGAGATGATTTATCACTACTAGATGAACGTTTATTGCCTATTTGATTATGATTGTTATCACGTAAGAAGGACGAAGAAAAAAAGTTTCGTTTTCGATCTGGATAATCAACTTTTGAAAACGTTGTTCTTCGTGTATCTTTAATCGAAAAGAATAAAACAAATCATTAAGAAGAAATTCATAATTGAAATTACCCGTTGATCTTCGCTGTGAATTATTTGTAGGTAACGCTGGTCGAATTGTAGTTGGTGGTCTACTTGTAGTTGGTGGTCTACTTGGAATGTTAGAGTTTGGTAACGGTGGAGGAGGTACCGTAAACATATGTTGAAAAACTTGTTGTTGATGTAGAGCATACATAGCAGCAGCTTGAATATAAGATTGATAGAAAGCAGCTGGTGATGAGGGTGTTTGCACTGAAGGAATTGATGATGGTGGAGGTGGTGGTGGAACAATAAACAGTGCAGATATATTCGTTGAATCCTGTTTATTAGTTTCATTGTTATTGCTCATATTTTTTTCGATTTAACTGTAATACAAAGAAATAAATAAAACAATAAAAATAAAAGGCCAAAAGTTATTCTCGAGTTCCATAATGAACGATCATGTGCGCCACAAAGTTTATTTAAATACAAATGGGTTCGTACATGATCGTGATAAGAACAGAGAACAAACTAAATATTTATATTCAATCTCGTTTATATCGAGTATGTCTAAATAAAATGAATATATACAAAAATAAATGAATAAAAACGATATATCTAAATATATCCGCCGGAAATCTATTACATTAATTACCTATTTTGGTTTATACTAATGAATTGACTTATCTATCATTCAAACGTAAAAAAAAACAGTAGATTTTAACAAATAAGTTACACCATCAAATTAACTAATAAAACACACTGGCATGATTAAGAATGAGCGTGCATTAGTGTATACGACAGTTTGACGAATGAGAAAAAAGCCGAATGATGTCGCCTATTGTTTGCACACGAGTTTCATAGTGATATCAGTAGTTATAATTATACGAAGGTTTTCTTTATCCAAATGTATTGAAAATTTCCTAGACGTCTTTCACAATCTCCTGTGAGATCTTGAAAGAGACTTTCAACTTTGCTTCAGATAATTAGTCAGACAAAGACTCGCACACTCTCTGTCTCTGAGAGTATATCATAGAAAGGCAATGATATGAGTTTCGTCGATTCGATCGATTTTTGAAAATCGAAGCAAGTCATTTTCTATTGACTTTGTTTTTATCCTTCCAACCTCAATAATAATAAAAAGAAAATCTGACCTATAGTTAAATTTATTGAAGCAAAAGATTTGTTTAACAGGAGCAACTATGCAGTGGTGGATCTACCTGTTAGGGTACCCGGCGATTGCCACCCCCTTAAGAAATTTTTTTTCGGTTTCCCGCAGCAGAAATGAAACAGAAAATAGTCGTTCTGCCTCAAATAGACTTGAAAAACCGTTTTTTGGCCAGGAGGGCCACGCCCTAACATATTTTCTGGATCCCACCACTGCAACTATGCCAGTAGTGTCAAACTTGAAACTTGAACTTGGTTGAAAATAGAAAATTTCAACTTTCAACTTATGGCGATATATGTGTGAGCCACTATTCTTCAGAATGCTATTGGTTTAAAAGTTGAAAGTTTCAATTTTCAATTGAATTCAAGTTGGACATATATGAACTGTGCTTGCTCAAAACACTATGTAACAAACAGAATGAAAATATAAAGAACGGCTGTTTATGCTAAAATATACGTTACATAGAAACATGAATTGTACTTTGTACACTTTACTGAACAAATATACATGAAAATGTCTGTTACATTCTTATAAAATTAAGGATCTATTGATATAGAAACTTCTATAAATCGAGCCCTTTCCATCTTCTTCTGAAGCATGATAAATCGATTTGGTGATTATGTAATGTTGATTTTCTGGAATGTACTCTTCAAATCTTGCGAAAAAATTTCGACAAAATCGCCTGTATTCTTCGAATCAGTTCTAAGAGTCATTATTGGTCAGTGGCCGTTGTTATCTGTCTCAGAATACTAGGGTGTGAGTGTGGGTGTGTGCCTGGGTTATCAGCTCAGATGGGGTTAATTAATCAAGTCACTATTAAAGTAGTTAGTTAGGATAAAATTCTATATCTAGAATGGATCAAATTTGATTCGATATGTTTCGGCCAAGATTTTTATTCGGCGAAGTTGGAGTCGGCGAAAATAGGCGTCGGTGAAAATTATATTCGGCGAAGTTGGAGTCGGCGAAAATAAAATACGGCGAAGCTGTACTAATTCGAAAAATTCGAGTATTATTAAATACACTTTCCTTATTTTTTACTATTATGTAAACTTTTTATTGCCTTGGATATAGAATTCTGCTTTTCATTTCGATTTAGCATCTTTCCAGGGATAACGAGAAAATATTTGCAACAAGACGAAAGATTTCTTTTTTTTATTGTAAAATCTTTAATTTCATATGTGCGGAAAAAAAGAATTAAAATAAATAATTTTTTTATGCAACAACATGAATAAATTTTGGCACGGATGATTCAAATGTAATTTATGATAATTAAGTTAATGCATAATTTTATTCAGTTTGTCCGTGACTAATATCATGTTGATGCTGTCAGTTACACCTTGTAGGAAATAAACGTGCATTTAATTGCAACAAATGGTAATGAATGTACTATTTGTCAACGGGAGGTCAAATTATGAAGTGGTATAAACATAAAAGTAGGTAATGGAACTAATAACAAGAAAATAATTTATTCTTCTTGGGATTTCAATATTCATATCATAATTAGAAGAAAAATATTCTGTTTTTCTTCCGTGTTTTTCTTTCGGATGTTTGATCGATACTCCTCTGCATCGATCGTCATATAAATATAGGGGTGAAAGTGTGTGGTTGTTATCAAGTGAAAATACAAGATTCAAGCAAATTATGAAACTTCTCATTTGTTTCGCTCTCGTAAGTGCTTTTTAAATTTTCAATGGAACACTTATGTTCATTTCATTTTCTTCTTATAGATCTGCGTCGTTCTGGTTGCAGCACAAGGCAGAGGATATCGCTATGAAGGAAATGGCAATCGAAGACCTGGTGGTCGAGGACGTGGTAGTCCGGGATCATGGGGTCGTCCAAGTCGTAATAATACTAATGACTCATGGGGAACAAAATTATGTGCCAACAGTACAGTGGCTCAATCATTTCTTACTCAAACTCAACAGGTGATCGCCAATCTTCGATCAAATGGATCATTCACTCAAGCTCTTCAAAATCGCGCAAACGCAATAGCTTATATCGGAAATCAAGCTAATGGAGATCTTCTTTCATCAAATTGCACTAGTTTCTTCAGTGGTCTTAGAAATGCAAAGGCGCTTGACAAAAAAGCTGTAGCAACGGCAATAAGATTAGACAATACAGCTCAACGTTTACTTTCACGAGTTGTGAAGTCTCTTTTAGGAACCAACAATGGTTAACTTAATTTTTCGTTGCGAACACTATCTACAATTTTTTACTTTATAATTAAACAATTATTTAAGGAATCGAAATAAAAGTGAGCTAAGGAAAGTTTTGACTGAATTGAGACACTAATTATTATAGAAGACATTCAACGAATTAATATTTAACATGATTTGAAATCTTGTTTCGTCTAATATAATTAAGATAAACCAATCGATTCTACTTTATTTGATGATAAATAATTTTAACAAATAACTAATAATAAATCAAGAATATTGAAACTTTAAATTCAGTCGTACAAATTTTCAAGTTCATTCTTGATTTGCTTGAAGAATATTTTAAGTATAAATAACTACTATTTTTACTATTATTTTTTCTCATGAGTGCTAATATAGCGATGCTTCAGTCGAAACAATATGTTCTTTTTCATACGAATAATTTCTCAGAAACTAAACATTACTTTTATAACTATAACATGAAACTCATCGAAATAATATATTTACAAGTGTATATCCATCACTTGTTTTGTTAATTTTTTCTATTGCATACCGCGAATATAATTTTCTAAAATAGATAATATCCAGTGGTGGATAAATCATTCTCAACATTGTGTGATGCTTCTTTTTGTAATGATCAAATGTTTGTCTGCAATCCAGTAGTACTATTCATAGTTTTTTTCATAACATGCTCTCTTCATGCCTTTCTGATATAAAAAGAATAATCACCAAATATCTCATTTAATGCATAGAATCTTCTACGATAAAATCGAATCAAGGCTTCAGAGCATATATTATCTACGATTAGTATCAGAGTATTCATGAGCTCTATTACAAACTCGGTGCACTGAAGTTAGGCAGTGCTATGTAATAAAGAGAATTTCAATCAATATTTATGAAAAATAAATAAATACAATAATATTGAATAAACTGTTGAAGTGGAAAAAATAAGGATACATTGATTATTGTATACATGTTTGAAATATGATTTTCTTAACTGTAAATAATAGAAATATTTTTCGATTAATGAACAAAAAAAGATGTTGAATTAAAGTATTCACTAAATTTTAGACAAACAGTAAATCTTAATAACAGTTTTCGAACAGTTGACTGGTATTTTCATTCATTATGAGTTTTAGCAATAAATTCTACGTAAAGGCGTCTAATTTTGATAATTAATAACCAAAGAACTCGTGTTAATTAATAGAAGATTGAGAGGAAACTAAAAAATAAGCTTAATTCATTATCTTTGGTTTTTTTCTATTGAATCTAGCACGTAATACACAAGTTCTGTCAAAATCTTTCATTTAACATTTGTAACTATTAATATTCTACTTTACTTTAATGTCTGCGTAAGAATATTGTGTAACATTAGCCAGTAGATTAGAGTAATTTTCTAGGTGTAGATGAAACGACAGAAACGGTTTCAGTTCATGTCTACTAAATTTACGTTTGAATTTTAAATGCATAAGACCTCCAATAAATGTATTACGAATAGTTATTCTGAAATTCTTGTTCTTATGGAACAAAATTGCTGGGCGACGATGACGCACAATATGAAAATCACATCATTGATTGATGAGAAAATGTATTTCAATGATAATATACATAGAAATATCAGCATAATTTACCATTTGTTAAGATTAAACTTTAATCTGTCAGTTTTTTTTACGTTTTGATTTTCAATTAAAGTTTAAGATCCACTAATATCCATACTTTGTTTACAGCTAAGTTTCAATAAAGTATTTATCTTTGTTTGCATGAGCAATAATATTGTGCCTTGCAAACTAAATACAAAGTATCCTAGGGAAAAAAGAAATCTTATCCTGATGAATAAAAAGATTGTCAATCTATGCATTATAACAAAACTTTCTTTCTATCATGGTGCATGTCAGCAAAACTACTTGAATCATAGAGTAGAGAAGCTTAAAAAGATCGAATAGAACAGAAAACTTAATTAGACAAAAATGAATACATGCATATATTAATTTGTTGTTCAAAATTGACTAAGTATAAAAGCAAAAAATTGATATAAAAAAGCTATTCTTAACGGCTAGTTGATTTTGTTGAACCGATCATCGACCAGTAAGTAATCTGGCTTAATCCGTGCAACATGCCATCATTAGGTATTGCTAAAATTAATTAATATAATGTTTAGTTCTATTTAGTGATATGTAATATTGCACCGTGTTTTTATATTTAAAAATATTTATGTTTATTTCTATTGATCACAGTTGATTTGCACATTGAAAGCATATTAATACAGTTATGCACATAAAAGAAATGATTCGAATTTATGTAGAATGTCTTGGTCGATAGGCTGCTCGTAATTCTCGTGACAAACGTTTTTCAATGTCACTTCCTAAATAAGCTCTATCTTCAAATGTTTCAAGTTCAAGAATATTTGTATTTGATGAACTTGTATCAGTAATCATTACTAATGGTATATGTCTTGAACTTGATGTTACACTTCCATCTGTTGTCACTGGATCATCTAATAATGAACAACGTCGTTCATAATACGTTTTAGATTGACTTGTTCGTGCTGCGGAAATCATTAGTAATGATTTACGTTGCTCTTTTTGTCGTTGTTCCTGATGTTGAGTTGTAGTTTTCAGAAGAAAACAAGAATTTCTATTCGCATTTGGTACTCGTCGAGTAATTGATTGAAAGGGTATAGTAACTCTTGTATTACATTTCTGTGTTTTTGATGAAGTTTTTGTTGTTTGGCGATCATTTTTATTTGCATCATTTTGAAATGAAACTGAATGACGTTGAGTATTTTCTTTTGGTTGCATCTATTGGAAAATAAATATAAATCAATTAGCTATCTAAATAATATTGTTGAAATAAAATCTACTAGGTGAACAACATTGGATGTATTTGCATGCATTTCAATTGGAGATTTTTGATCATTATCACATAAATAAAAACTTTTTAATTCATCACCACTTGAACTTTCTGTTTCGCGATATGAGGAAATTTTCTTTCCTATGTTAAATACATTCTTATTACGAGAGAACGATCGTCTAGTCATAGCTTCAACAACCAGTTGAACTTTACTTGAATTTGCTTGAGAATTCATTGGCATAAATTCTCCTTGCTTTTTTTCTTGTTTTATTAGTGATGATTCAATTTTAGAATTTTCATTTACTACTGATGACGACGATGACGATGATGATGGACAAAAGATACAACGCTGCATAAGTTCTGATAAAAAATAGCAAACCGTATTGCAGCATGTTGACGATGAAGAATCATAACGACGATTTTGTTTAGAACGATTTGGTCGTTTTCTAGTTAAACTTGAATTACTATCACATAAATGATGATGCGGAACCGATGTTTTTAATATTTGTTTTGATCGTTGACACTTTGTATGAATAATTAAAGCAAGCATTATGCCAGTCCATACAACAACAATAGCTGATAATATAATTGTTAAACGAATAAGAACACTTTCAAATGATTCACCTAATAAATATCGACGAAAAATACTGGTTGTCAAAAAAGGTTCTGCTGTACCATTGTTCATCATCTAACTTAGTTAAGTATCGACAGACATAAACGTTTCTATGTAATTATCTAAATGGTGAAGGGAAAAAAGTAGTATTTCTATTTATTTTTCTTATCATAGAAAGGCTGAAAAAAACGTTCTAAAATCGCCAAAAAAGAAAGAAAAATAGCAAACTCATTTCTCCATTTGAACCAAATGACATAAACCGAATAGTGTGTCACGTTCGCTATGAAGCTGGTCTCTATCAATTTTTAATAGCAAGAAATGAGTGTAGGAAAACAGGCTGACTTGAATACCGGCACCCACAGCAATCAGAAAAGGATGAAGAAGAAGAAGAAGAAGAAGGAATAGAAAAAAAGAGCTAATTATACATCTATAGGCCTACATGTACCGTGAGAAATATATAAATATATATAGTGCATCACTTGAAATGAGAAGTCCCTTTAGGATAATTACATCGAATTGTTTGGCAATTATAGCTCACTTCATTGCTATAAAACTAGTCATTGAGATTCTATCGTTATAGTATCTATATGTAATGTGTGACAAAGCAACAAAAGGCATATGTGAAGAGAGAGAGAGAGAGAGAGAGAGAAGAAAGGCCAACTGAAAACTCTTACATGCTCATTCTTTGTATGCTTTGGAGGTTTCCTTCCTCCCGCTCTCTATCTCTCTCTTTATTTCTAAGATTATTGTTTTTCTAAAAGCCATAAAACGTAGGAAAGTGTAACAATCGAAAGCAAAGACAGAACACAAAAAAGAAAGAAAGAAAATGGATTAGCTTAGATCGTTGTTGAGGTGTGATTTGAGCGGAAGTAAATCTTCTTTCTCACAATTGCATCTTTTCGAACTCTTTTTTTTTTAAAATTTAGTCTATGCTCAGCTTCCTTTTGGCCATATCAATGCTTCTCTTGAAGCCGACCACCAATCGACTATAAATATGAATCGTTTTTATTATTCATCATATGTAAGTAGCAGACAGTACGTGATATAGTCGATCATGTTTCAAGAGCCCTCAGCTATTTATCTGTTAAACAGTCAATGACAGCATGAAAAATTTATGTTTGGCATGGCCTATAGAAGAACAAAAACATGTAATCATTATTTTTTAATAAGGTTGATATGTCAAAACGTCGTCCTGTCATGCTGATGCATATCTGTGAATGACAAATGAAGATTTGCTTTTAAAAATAAATTAAATCAAATTTCATATTCAGAACGATGTTAATTTCTAAGAGAATTTTCATTTCTAACAATGTAGGTGTTTGTATTGTAAGTTGAAAAGACTAGATATTTTTACATCAAAAGAAAACTCTCACCGCCAAACTAACAAGGCTAAAATATTAGCTCCCTTTGGCTTGACTAGAGGGAGATATTCGATTTTTCAGTGAATTTTCTCTACAGGACCGGCTTTCCCAGCAATATCATATTTTCGAATTTCAATCTGAAATTTTGTATGCATGAAGGTCTCAATGAGACTAGCTTATAGAAAACAAAATCAGAAGTTTTGGACAAACTCTCTTCGAGATATGAATCTCTCAAAGTATTGACGATTTTCTATAGAAGCTGTATGCTTGAGACATTTATATCTCGAAGAAGGTTTGTCCAAAACTTCTGATTTTGTTTTCTATAAGCTAGTCCCATTGAGACCTTCATGCATACAAAGTTTCGGGTTCAAATTCGAAAATATGATATTGCTGGAAAAGTCGGTCCTGTAGAGAAAATTCACTGAAAAATCGAATATCTCCCTCTAGTCAAGCCAAAGGGAGCTAATATTTTAGCCTTGTTAGTTTGACGGTGAGAGTTTTCTTTTGATGTAAAAATATCTAGTCTTTTCAACTTACAATACAAACACCTCCATTGTAGGTACTAAGTTGAAAATAAATTATATTGTTGATAAATGGAATACAGTTGTTTTACTTGTTAGTCAAGAGTATGAAATTTGGATAAAACTACAATTATCTAAATTTAATAACAAAATATGTGATAATTACCAAAGAGTAAAACAATATTATTATAGAAAGTTGAGAATTATTCAAGGAGAGAAAAACGAGACTCACACTACTACAAAAACAAACTTGAAGTACAGTGGAAATACAGCGAGGTATCAACTGGCTTTCTCAAGCATATTTTTTTCTTACTAATGTATGGTATCTTTTAATATTTAGTTGTCTAATCATAATCACGATTAGTAGAAGGCGTTTTCTCGCTAATAATAATATCGAAAGATGTTCATAGTGACTCTGCAAGCTCATCCTTTTTTCTGGTTACTGGTACTCAATTAGAGCCAAGTTTTCAAGTAGACACAGGTATATTCATTTATTATAAGATATCATTGTATGTGTCTCTCTTAAATTTTGACTATCAATTAGTAATTATGCGAGATCTAAAATTTAATATTTGCATTAACCTACAATTGCTTGTGTGCAAGGGAGAAAAAGCGGATCCCGATAGATTTCAATGGATCCCATTGTAACTTGATGAATGTTTTTAGGTATTTCTGAGACTATATTGACTTCGAATTTTTCTTCCTTGGCTCTCACAGGTGTCTATTAAAGTTTGATGCTGTTAAGCAATATTATTTTTCCATGATTTCTATTATCAATTCGGTCAATTATTATCTTCTTTGGAAAATTTTCGGAATTTTTGATATTTCATTCAAAGTTGTTAAGAGATCTATTGCTGTGGAGCAAAACGCTAAAACATGGTAGATAATATGAATCATATCTATATAAACAGCATAATGTATAGCATTATCCAAGAAGAAACCTGAAACTAGGCCACGCGTAAGTTTAACTTTATTTGAAAAATTGAATCCCATAATAGTTTGGGGTTTAGCACCTTTGCTATGTTTATTTTTATATTGTAATCAGACTTCGTAGATGCATTTTATGAGAATATAGGAATATAGAGGCATTAAAAATATCATTTATGTAGGATCCTGGATTCGTATATAGTAATATATGGGACACTACTTTAGGCTAAGTTGTAGGTCCTTTCACTTGAATAATTGAATTTTATTCTAAGTGTGTACAACTGAACACCAATAAAGCTAGTACGAAAAACAATTGAAACTGTTTATAACCTAGAGAATAACAAAAATTTTATCAGAAATTAAACAAAAACTGAAAAATCATTATTCGTAATCTATGATTCAAACTGATCTTCACTTATCATATTTTTTTGTTTCATTTGGACTTCAATATCTGATCACAGTCCGCTTGTACTTAGATTCTGTAAAAAAAAGGGAAAGTGCTTGACTCGAGAATCTTTAAGAAAACAAAAAAAAAGAAGCAATTACATCACCGTTTAACCATATTGACAACAAAAAGGAGCGAGCAGTATATACATATATGTTAGTGTCCAATCTCGGCTCCCATTTTGAAATAGTCCAACATCAGATTGTCGGAAAAGTTTTCGCTAAAACTTCCATTACTCCTAAGATATATGTTAAATTAGAATCCTTACTGATAAAATGTGTTGAGACAATGGTGTGGCAGGTATTACAATCATCTATGAAAGAGCTAAGTATGAACCCAACGCTAATCGATAATTTTCCATAAAAGTTGCTGTTCTATAGAAAATGTTTCATAACTGATTAACCCAGGCAGATCTGAGATTGCACTGAATTTCAGATTGAACGCTGGCCTATATATATATGCCACTAACATTTATGCGCTTGGTTATATAAAGTATTGAGAATATTGATAGTCGTGGACAAGTCGCTATTTTAAACAAAATATGTCTTTCGTCAAAAGAATCTTCATTTTTTCGAACAATATAGTAATGTAGGACATTATATGATCGACTTAGCAACTATAGGAAATATAGGATGACTACGAAGTTCGATTATAAAGGAGAGAACTAAAAAACTGAGACGATAGTATAGAATCAGCAGCCGTGTTTGTATGGCTCATAGCGAAACATTTTATCTTATTTGCATAAAATAACGTGCAAACGTAATTAATCATAGAACTATGCAATCTGTAAACACAAAGTTAGCCATATCAGAGGATACATCTTCTATTTTATTGTAGTCATTCTCTTCATTGTATTCAGTGCCATGCAGTCATAACAATTAATTACGATTTAAAAAAATGCTAAATAAATGATTACAGTCTAAATAAAGTTTAGTTTTATACTTATATCTGAATATTGAGTTGCTTCTTTATTTCAAATACATGTGCCCCAATGATCCTATCGGTGCAGTAGAAGATTATTGTATAATTCATAAAAATCAAGGTATACTTTCGCGTTTATATAAATACTGACTACATAAAGGATATTCTATTTTTAGCATAATAAAAGTGCTAAATTCTAGATTATAAAGAGTATGTTTTATCAAAACGATCTGCTAGATCGATACTCCAATATTTTACGAAAAATTAAAAAGTCAAATATTGCTCTCCGCAAAGATTCTACAGAAGAAATCGCTTTATCTATTTTACTGATCTTTCACTAAATTCTCGAGATAAAAACAAGAAAGTATGTTCTGTCACTTAAGTTGAGGATGTGGGTATCATCTATTCTCCAGACGCACACCTACAATAACATCCTACACGCTCAAATAAAGTCTCTTTTTAGAACCAATTTTTAATCTTAAATGTTTTTTTTTGTATTTTTTCTAACTTTTCCGTTTTTACAAAAACTGAGAACTTCTGTCCACAAAGAAAAACACGAGACATAGAGTAGTTTTTTTTCTGACGAAACATAAGTAAATATTCCGATGCAGTTTATCACCCTGAAATTCGTAAATTTATCTCATAATTCATTGTGAGAAGCGAGCTTAGGATAGAAAATTCGAGTCAATTCAATTTCTAAAATTGGTCGGAATTGGTTGGAACTGGAATTGGTGCATCCCTATGTGCAGGAATAGTCTTAAAACAATATGAACAGGTGAATGTCTTAATGGTTATTTTCTTATCTGCTGAAAGCTGGTAAAATATTTTCTTAATAATAGAATATTACAAAATATCATACACATAAATCCGAGTTATGAGTATATTGAGTAATGAACAGTCGTCTTCTTCTCGCATGTTTTGATTTGTAAACTTTTATAATATAAATCTTATTGATGCCTTTTGTTCTTATAAATTTTTAAAAACACAATTTATGTCAATGAATGCCACTGGATCCCATTGGATCCTGGAATCCTCTTTTCCCTCTTGGAATATACGTTCAGTCCCAAGAAATTATAGATCGTGAACTATAATAATCTACAAGGATATAGGTCTTAAATATATTATATCAGTCATCTGTATGAAAAAATAGACATCTCTTGGCTTTTTTAGACTAATTAAAACTACAAAATCATGGGGATGCGGCAGAAACCAAAGCAGTTTAAAGACGGAAGGTTATTTCTTGGCTTCTTGATTATTTGAATGTAATGAACACAAGTTACTAACTGTAGATCTATTCAAGTTGCAGTTGAAGTATGAGTGGAGTATAGGTGGAATACAAATGGAATACACACACTAGGAGTCTCGTTTTTCCCCCCTTGGAATTATTTCATATTCTATGTATTATTGAAGATGCTTTTTTTATAAACGTTATTGTATTCTATTATTAAATAGTCATGAACGAGAAAATGATACACTATTCAAAAGAAATAGTTTATTCTTTAATAAAGATATTCAGTCTCAATGTATATTTACATAGAATTTTAAGTTTAATTTTATTGTGAAATCTATTTTTCTATCATCCTTATACATTAAACATTTAAACATAAAAACCAAAATCATAGTCTTTTTCACTTTTCAATAGTATTCAAAAATGCATATTGAAGAGAAACTTCAATGTCGTCAAGTAAATCCTGTACGTCTTCAAGTCCTATAGACATTCGAATAAGACCATCAGTAATACCTAGTTGACGACGATGTTCTTCAGGTACACTTGCATGGGTCATAATAGCAGGCAACTCAATCAAAGATTCATAACCTCCAAGCGATTCAGCTGTTGTGAATAACTAAACAATAAAAAGCATTTTCTTAATTTGTTTTTCTTCTAGAAAATTCTACTAACTTTAAGATGTTTTAAAAATCGTTTACTTTTTTCAACATCATCACCTTTAAGATAAACCGAAATCATTCCGCTAAATCCCGACATTTGTTTTTTATACAATTCATATTGTGGATGACATTCCAATCCCGGATAAATTACACGTTCTATATATTTATGTTGTTCGAGATATTTAGCAATGCGTAAAGCTGATGTCATATGTTGCCGCATTCGTACTGCTAATGTTTTAAGACCTCGATTAACAAGATAACAATCGAATGGAGATGGAACAGCACCACTAAAAGAAAATTTCTCTTTTAATCGTTTTGTTTTTCGTTTCAATCGTAGACAGAAATAGATAAACAATTTTCTTACATTGCATACTGAAGAAAACTTAATTGTTTATAAAGTTCTTCACTATTCATCATTAAACTGCCCATAACAACATCGGAATGACCATTCATATATTTAGTTAATGAATGTAGAACAAGATCAGCACCAAGTTCAAGTGGACGTTGATAATATGATGTTGCAAATGTATTATCAACAAGAACCATTATTTTTGGATCATATTTATGAACAAGAGTAGAAATAAGTTCTATATCGGCCAATTTCAGTAATGGATTTGTTGGAGTTTCAATCCAAACAAGACGTGTTGTTGGTTTAAGATGATTAACAATTGATGATGGATCCATTGACATATCAACAAATGAACTTTCAACACCCATTTGAGCCATGCAACGTCTAGAAATTGAAAAACTATTTAAAAAATAATTTCTTATCGATAAAAATAAATCAACCTAAACAATCTTCCGGTTCCACCATACACATCATCGATTGATACTATATGATCACCTGATTTAAGCATAAACATAAGAGTAGTTGTTGCGCCAAGACCAGATGAAAATGTTAATGCATATTTTGCCTTTTCAAGTGATGCTAAACATTCTTCTAAGCATTGTCGTGTTGGATTTCCACATCGACTATATTCATATAGAAGTGGTTTGCCTGGTTCTAATTGTTTAAAGGTTGTCGCCATTGATATAGGTGGAATAACAGCGTGGCCTGGCCATCGTTCAGGTTCTTGTCCAACATGAATGGCATCAGTTTCGATACCTGTTCTTGGCATTTGTTCATGATTTCTTTTCATTTCTTCATTTTTATCGTCTCTTTGAAAAGTACTTGATACATATCGTTCCATACGTCTTGTTAACAGAGGCAACCTAGAAAATAGTAGCAATGTTTGTGAAGTAATCATCTAAAATTACTTAAAATGAACGTTCAAAAACAAGATATTATTATTTTCATCAAACTATTTTTAACAAATAAAAACTAACTATCGAAAGTACTATAAAGTAAAACTTTCTATTTTTGAATAATTCCTAATAGAATTCATAAGAACAATATTTTTTTAAAGAAAAGTACCCAATATTTTGTTGGATAAATTGAATTGCTTCTCGAGTGTTTTCACATTTAAAGATTATATCAGAATTCTATACTGTAGTCCAGTAGATAGATACTAACTATTTTAGACCGTACAATGAACACCAACAAAAGAAAATTGCAAATTTTTAGTTATTAAAAAGTAACAGATTATTTTTTGGAAGTGAAACTTGAATATTATTTTAGAATAATATTGACTTCACTTCAAAGAAAAAACAGCGCTTATTCATGATTTCCATGTTTACTCAAGGTCATATAGTGCGAAGATCAAGAATTTGTATGATTTTGTTTAAAATCATTCTCTGATCGTTTCTATTTCTGTGGTTAATAGTAAATTGATTTATTGCATACCCATAATACTTGACATATGATAATTATGTTGCATAGACAGCATAGTTTTAGGGAGAATGACGTCTGAAACTAACCTACATGAAAAAGTATTTCTTTTTTATATAGTCATTCGTGAGTCATTATGAAACATAAACAGCACTCGTGTCGCGTACGATATATTTTATAAACGAATCAGTTTGATATTAAAATAAATGCGCATTTGTAATTTATCAAAATAATAATTTTATATCTATAAATAACTATCATAATATCAACTCAAATGTTTATGTTCACTACACTAATTTACGTGTGTCAATTATTCGATATTTCTCAGTTTAAACTTAAAGATGTTTTTTCTTAAATAATTATTGAGTAAATCTACTATAAGAATAATGCTCCTCCCCCCTAATTTTTAAGCTCGATTCTTTATGGATAAGAGTATCAAAATGTAAATGATGATAAGTGTATCTTTTATCTTCTTAGACAATTGACAGAATAGAAAAGAAATGACTTACAACAAAGAAAAATTAACCAGAAAAATAAACAGATGAACGAAATATTATTGTTAATGGATCATTGATTCTTATCTTTTCTCATTATTCGATGATTAAAAAAGAACATTTTAATGCGACACAAAAATAATCCGAAAACAAATAATATATACTATATCGATTTTGAATGATTCATGTCGTTTAGGCTGTAAAAAAACGTATAATCTGATTTGATAATTATTTTGCCCTATTCAATATATTATTATGCTGCCAAAAATAAAATATCTAGTGGCGCTAATTTTCGACAAAAATTTCACAATTGAGAATTCAATTAACAGAATTTAACCCGTCATTTATTGATATCAACAATCAATAGGCTTTTTCTTCAATAAAAAAAATTCATATATTAAAATAAAACATGAAAAATCCCACGGAAGCTACAAATTGCAAAAGAAATGATCATAAATACGATTCTCTCAGTTCACATTTAATGAAAGTTAATTTATTAAAACTTAATTAACGAATATGCGTCGTACCTTGAAGTTAGAAATTTGAAAAAATCCAGATCAAATTTCACTCAATTAAATAAACCTATGGTAAGGTTTCCAACAAAATATGACGTCGAACATCTGAACTACTATAAACGGTTTTTTCGTAGATCGTTTCATGTTGAAGAACAAGAGTTTCCGTTTAGTATTACCATTTTGAACAAGTTAACTCTATTTTTTCAGAAACAATGCTCTGTATGAAGAGTTCTGTGCAAAACTCATTATTTTATATTTGAAAACATTTCTTAACTTGCAATATTTATGAATAAAAATGCATTGCAGAAGAACCCATGCCCTTTAAAGTGTCACATCGCTAACGCTGAATTTTTTTAAATATATGCAGCAAAGCTACATTTCAATTGTTGCCTGTTTCACAGTTATGTTTCACATGTAGACACTAACTAAAATAAAGTTGAGAATTCGAAATAAGTTTCAGAAATCATTTTACTAACGTATAAAACAGATTGGATGTAAAGTTGTTTCAATTTTTTTTCTACTGAATATTGTTGTTCTGCAGACTTATCTACGCAATATGAGTGATGAGTAGCCAAATTTCTTTTCTGATCAACTACATCTTTTTTTTAGATTTTTTTGCTTGGCCGATACTAGCTTTACACAATGCATCCTGTATGCCATCCATATTTACGCACTCTTATATTATTTGATAGTAAAACTGAATCCTAAGTAGCTGTTAATAAGCGGTGTTTATATAAATAATATGTAAAACTAGACTGCTAGAGGAAATCGTTGTAATCAAAATTTAAAAAAAAAAACATCAATAAAATGATTGGGTTATCAATTGTTTTCTTTTTACATTTATTTAGCTAAATAAAGTTTGATCATTGCTGATAATAATAGTCGACGAAAGAACAAATCCCTTTCAGGCAGTTAACATATCTTCTATGATATTGTGAAAATTTCCAATGCATTAGGTTTTTCTAGTCGTATGTTTTGTAAGAGTCATCAATGGATACAACTAGTTGATACAGTCTTTTTGATGCAACAAGGCTACTTTCATCGAATGCGATTTCAAGAAGTATACAACAGTTCAAAAAACATGAAAATTCTTGTACTATACGTTGTATAGCTCGTCTCTAATCTTTAATATATATATATATATATATATATATTCATGCACTTTATTACGTAATTTAGATAAATGCCATTTGCCAATGTATTTCATAAAATAACTGATAATAATAGTATGGCATGTATCAAAGATCATTACAATCTTCAAGGAAAACATACTATAAGAAAATACAGTATTAATTACAAACGAATAAAAACTTGAGATAGAAAGTAAATGGATCAAATATGCTGTAAGAAAAAAGGAAGATGCAAAACTATATGTTAGCGGAAAACTTTATTAATTAAAAGCAATTTTGTTTTTGAAAAAGATCAATCATTTCTGAAAACATTTCTAAGCAACAAAAGCAAATAAACAACTGAAAACAAAACTGGATTACAGGATAACATCAGTGGTATTTTGGACCAGCTGTGTCAAGTTTCTCAAGATAATCTATTTTTTCGTCGTAATTTATTTTTTCAAAGCTGAAAAACATTTTCGGTGAGTACAGGAGGGCGTATGAAAAGGTATGCATATAGGCTTTCAATAATTAGTTCCCAAAACTTTATCAAGATATAAATAAATAACAGGTGGTGGTTTTCTCATTCGTTTCAATACTACAATGTCAATGAAAGTTTAAATAGCTGGGCAATTGAATAGTAACTAGTCAAATTTTATTTCCCGCGACTCAAAGTAGTACAGACACGCACGCAAGAAATATAAGATATGCGCAGCATAATTATTCCATTGGCATTTGCCCTTAGCATTCTAGTGTGCCATATACAAGCTCAAGATTTTACTAAACTGCAATGGTCGGATTGCGGTAGTCCAAGTGCCGTTATTAGTAATATCGATTTAACGCCAATGCCGGTGTATAATCCAGGCCCGGCTAGTATTACCATTAAAATTGAATTAAAAAAACCTGTTAGTAAGTTTTCGATTAAGCTTTTCATATGAGAACAATTTTATGCAATGTCTTTCTTCGATTTTTATTTATAGAAACTGTAGGAGTAAACATCAACATAATACGTACTGTTAGTGGCATCACACTTCCAGTAAGATGTTATATCGTAAATGGCGCAAATGTTGGATCATGTAATTATACGGATTTGTGCACATTTCTTAAGTCAATCTGGGACGATTTCAAACCTGAGACATGTTCCCCAGTTTTGCTCGATTACGGTATAGATTGCACCTGTCCATTCAATATTTCACCTCTATTACTTGATTTAAACAATCTTCCATTGGATCTCCCGGATGCTTCACAATCAGCAGCAAGTTTTATGGCTTCTGGTAATTTCGACATAAAAGTAGCAGTTTTTGAAGGCGCCCCACTAGCAAGTCCTTCTTAAGACCTATTCAAAAAAGACTTCCATGGTACAATAATTATATTTTCATAGATTAAATAAATAGATTGTGTGCTACCTTCATTGGTATAGATTTTACGACTGTATTGTCATGTTTTAACTTCGCGTTGTTCTCTATGTGAAAGTGATTAAAACTCTTTTATCCAATGAAAATAGCTGATTAAATCGGTTGATAAAACAAATCTTTCCATTTTCCACTTTCTACTCCAGCTACATCACTAGTATGATATACTTAATAAATGGCAACTTATGGATGTGCCAGAGTTCAGTTAACAGTTAAACAAAAGAAATAAGTTGCCTATTTATTCTTGCTTTATTTCTTTTTTTTTCATTCACTGTAAAAGTTCTCAATGAAAAATAAATCATCGCTACATATGAAATTCTTTTAACATCACGGTACAGCTTGACTATATGATTGAAACAAAAGTTAAAAGTATCATACAAGCAAAATAATATGGATATATATATTGAAAAAAGAATTGATGCATAGAAATTAACATGAAACCAAATAATACGGCATTCTAATATTGAAAAATTACAATAAGCAGCATTGACACTAATTGATAGATCATGAAAAAGAAACGTTAAGTAAATTCAAATACGTAGGAGATTATTAATATTTATAGTGAATACATATCCACTGGATTCAAGAACGAACTATAACAATGCAAGAAAAAGAAGCAAAGACTTGTTTAAAAAAGTGATAATTAATTCAGATAGAAGACTCTGAAAAAGTTTAAAAAGCAAGGGTATCATATTTCGCGAAGCTGTCGATATCTTATTTAGTATTTTACACAGCATGATAACGGTGTCTCTTCTAAGATCGAGCTTAGATATCTCGAAATTTCAAATCTCTTCATTGAAAGATAAAATTAAAATAAAGTATGCTGTGATAAGCTTCACACTTAGCATAATCCAAAAGTCATTTGCTCTCTCCTAACGAAGAAAAATTGTCAACCAATCCTCGACGTTTATCTTGATATTTTTTCTATGTGTAAGACCTTTTATAGTTAAAGAAATCCTACGAGTACTTGTTTTAATGTTGCTTATTTTTAAGACTTATGAAGGTCTTTTATTTGCTATACTGTGTGAAGTACTATCGCTTGCATCGCGTCATCGTTTTATGGAAGAACGTTTCCAAGTAGCTTTTTGTCTTTGGCTCTAAAATATGCTAATAGGTAAAAGATCTATACAATTAAGTAACCTCCTAAGGATTCCTGAACGATTTCAACGTCTGAAGTAAATCATATTTGACCATTCTGTTCTAAAACATTATACACAGATGAATATCTCAATTAGACTGGTTTTTGTTAACACCAGTTGTTGGTATCGAATCGCCCATATGTGAATCTTTCAATATATTCACACTTCTCTTGCTGTGCTGTACGGTAACAGGTCTATTGACTGTGTAACTACTCTGTGCTGACAAACACACACCCTCATACCGTCTAGAACTAACTACAAAAGAGCAAATACTTTTGCGTTATCTTATCATCATAGGCTCTATATTTAGAGAAAATATAACAAAAAGAATGAGGAAGTTCACTGACGATATTTCTCGTAAGAAAAGGAAATTTGTGAACGATTGAAAATTATTGTACATCCAAAAACGATGAATTCTTATGACAAACGATGGATAATTGAATTTTAATTAAGTATGTCTTTTCATGATATGAAAAAAAAACAGTTAGAATATTTTCAATAGTTAACTTTTGGTTATACTTTATCTTTTTATCGGCAGATGTAAAATTTTCACATAAACTTGAGTATGGTTGTGTTTTTTTCAAATTTCCTAAGTGATGTAAAACTACAATATACTTAAATTCAAATTTTTCTCTCCTGACCACGGTGATAAGGTCAAAGATAGTAGTACAGATCAATCTCAAAATATGAAATAAACATGCGAATCTGTGTATTTCAAACATATATGCAAAATTATATATGCGCCTATATATCAGTGACATCTATTGTACAAAAGTATAGTTAACTTATGGTATAGACAAAAAAAAACGTTATTATACCATTTAAATCGATTCATATGTTCTGTATTTATATTAATTTAAATTAACATAACGAGTATTCATTGCTTGTTTGTGAATTGAATTGGACTGGTTGAATTGCAAATGAGTGTTCCTTGTCATATATGATTCAAACACCTATAAAAACGATCGATTTATTGAACTGTCGCTGTATTTCTTTCTTCATCATATTCGTTTGTTCGCTCGTCTCGTCATTCACTGCATTCATTTATATCATTTTTTTTGTTTTTCTCTTTTCTCTACTTTATCTGTCGTGAGAAATTGATCTATCCCATGACATAATCTTGTTCACCTGTACGTCTATAATCGTTCATCGAACCAATTATTATTAGTTCATCATTTTCTCACTGTGATATATTTGATTTCAAGGATTCAGCACATTTTTTTCTGCTTAGATGGCAACTGCCGCTGGTGGTGGTGATGACAACGAATGGCAAAAATTGCCATGTGATGAAAAAGTTCAACATAAAGTACTTGAGAAATAAATTAAGCACACTTGATAGTGTTTGTTCTTCTCTTAATCTAGGCATGGAAAGCTCGTATGACTGGTTACGAAGAATGTGCAAAACTGTTTCGTAGTCAAGATACAGATAAAAGTCCTGAATTTAGTAAATATCTTGGACTTGTCAAAAAGTTTGTTGTCGATCCAAATGAAAACGCTCGTGAAAAAGCACTTGATGCAATATTTGCGTTTGTTGAAGAAGCACAAGTAGCGGGAAAGTAAGAAGTCTTCATCTTAATCTTTTTGGAAACGATATATTGCGTATATCTATATATAGAACTGTTGGTGAAGTAGCAGGTGGATTGATCGGTAAATGTTTGAATGGTCGTACAAAAATGAAAGACCGAGCATTCGACATTCTTCTTATGTATATTGAAATTGAAAGACAAACAGATATCGAAGACGAACTTATTAAAGGTCTTGATAATAAACAACCAAAAATTGTTCAAGCTTGTCTTGAATTACTTCGACGAGGATTATCGTATGTTTAGTTTTTCATGTTAAATTTCTTTTTATTATTGATATTCTTTCTATTAAAAAAGAGAATTCGGTTCGAAAATTCTTCCAATTAAACCCTTTCTTAAACAAGTTATTCCATTACTCGAAGATCGAGATAAAAGTGTACGTGATGAAGCAAAATTATTACTTGTTGAAGTTTATAGATGGATTGGAAAACAAACTCTTACGCCAATGATACAAAATGTGAAACCTATTCAAGTATTGACTCGTTTTTTCTTTCATAATTTGCATATATGTATTTTCATTGTTTTTTTGTACTTAAGATGCAAGAACTTCAAACTGAATTCGATAAATTAGACTTGAACGGTGCTGATAAACCACGGCAAACACGTTTTCTTCGTTCACAACAAGATCTTAAACAAAAGATGGAACAAACTCAAGCATCTACAACAGTTAGTGCATCTGTTACTATTGATGATGTTAATGTTGAAAGTAAAGACAAATATTTTTTTTTGTATGCATTATGTATTAAAATGTAATGCAAACTTTTAGTGCAAGAAGAATTGGATCCATTTGAAATGTTAGAGGCTGTTAATATTCTTGATCGCTTATCAAAAGACTTCTTTGAAAAAATAGTAAATTTATTTAGAATCGATTTGTTGATTTTGTTTCGTTTTGTTTGACTTTTTAGGAATCAAAACAATGGAAAGATCGAAAAGAAGTTCTCGATGATCTGTTAGCATTATTAACTCAAAATCCTAAATTAGCACCTGAAGCTGATTATTTCGAACTTGTTAAAGCATTAAAAAAAGTAAAAAGAAAACTATTTAATTTAAAATAAAATAAAATTGATTCAATTACTTATAGATTATTTCAAAAGATAGTAACATTCCTGTTGTAATTGTAGCAGCTAAATGTTTAACAGGTTTAGCTAAAGGTTTAAAGAAAGGATTTAAAACTCATGCTGTTGGTGTAAGTTAATTGTTAATTTAGTTTGAAAAAAAAAACGTTCAATGGTTAATTTCATTTTGAATTCTAGGTTCTTGAAGTCTGTCTTGATCGATTTCGTGAAAAGAAACCAAATGTACTCGAAGCATTACGTGAAGCTTGTGAAGCTTCATATCCAGCGGTACATTGGAAATCATTTTATTAAAAAAATAAAATTCAAATCGTTTTAGACAAATCTTGAGCAACTAGCTGAAGAAGCTGTAGTTGTTTTAGCACACAAAACACCTATTGTTCGACAATGTACACATCAGTTTCTGACAAAATGTTTTGCAATGGCTACACAAACAACTCTACCAAAAAAAGTTCTGAAAATATATTTACCACCATTAATTAAAGTAGATCATATCAGATTTTAATTGTTCGTTAAATATTTAAAAAAATGTTATTGAAATTTTAGAATACAGGTGAAGCTGACGCAGGTGTTCGTGATAGTGCATTTGAATGTCTTGGAATGTTATGGAAATGTCTTGGAGAAAAACATATTCTTCCACATGTCACTGACTTAGATGAGCTTAAACTAACCAAAGTAAGGAACGATTTTATTGGAAATAAACATATTTTGCAGGATGTTTTTTGTTATATTGTAGATAAAAGAATATGCTGAAAAAGCAGTTTTATTAAATGCACGTGGCGAACCACGTACAGCAGGGACAAGCACAGCTGCAGTGCCAAAATCTGTTGCTTCTTCTATTAACACAGCAACAATGACAAAGAAGCCAAGTGGTGCTACTATTGTGAAACCTGATGTTACAGGCGACAAAGATGATGCATCGCCAAATCCAGCATCAGCTGCTAAACCAACAACTGTAGTAAAGAAGAAATCTGCTACAACTAGTAAACCTGCGGCAGCATCGAATGAAGCTGCGGAAGAGAAAAGAAGAGAACCCAGACCACAAAAGGTAAATGAAAATATTTTGCCATTTTTCGGTTTTATTTCTTCGAAGTGTTGCGCATGCGTTGTGTTCATTTTCTAATCGAACTAAGACATACCAACATATACACGTGTGTCTTACGCTAGAAATCTTCTTTTGTGCATATGTTTGTACGTTATTGCAGGCTTCTGTGTTAATCGCGAATGTCGTTTCTCGGGTTGCACCATCTCAAGTGAAACAAACCATATCAGATCCTATGTTATTAAATGAGAAATTCAATACATTAAAAGTTCAACCAATAACTGCTCCATTATTAGTCAAGACCACAGCAAATGTTTCATATGGTACAAAACATCCAATCCAACATAAATCAGTATTATCCACTGTTGGACGCTCATCAGTGAGTCCAACAGTGTCTTCATCGTCAAGTAGTACGAATACTCAACAATCAATATCATTTGCATTGACTTCAACAAGAACTATAATCAATTCTACGGCAATAGTGCGCTCTACATCGAATGATAGTATATCATCAGCTATAAATTTCAACATAAAAAGTCGTATACCTGTCAGATCGATACCAATAACTATGATTAAATAATTAGCGACAAAGAAATTTTATATTGTTTTTATGTGATATGATTTGATTTCTTTCGTTGTTAATCGTGCATTAATATTTGTATTTATTTATTTTTCTTTATTTCTTTCACTGTAGTTATCTTATAAGGATGGATGTTGTTCTTACGTATATATATATGTATATATTTTTCTTTCCTTCTTTTATTATTCATTTCTATGAAGAGTTGTGCAATCAATTTTTATCAGATACTGCCTTTGTTAGAATTCATTAAAATAAAATAATTTCTTTTTAGGTTCGCAGTGAAAAACCTATTGATGATCCTGAATGGCAAAAATTACCGCCAGACGAAAAAGTACAACACAAAGTGAGAGAAACGTTAGAATTAAATTTGCATCTGACTTGTTTGCGTATTGTTTTAGCTATGGAATGCACGTTTAACCGGTTACGAAGAATGTGGAAAACTTTTTGCTTTACAAGATTCACCCAAAAGTGGAGAATTTGAAGATTATTTAGATCTTTTACCAAAATTTGCTCAAGATACAAATGAAAACGCAAAAGAAAAAGGCTTAGAAGCCCTACTTGTTTTTATTCAAGAGGCTTTTGTGGCACGAACGTATGTTTGAATAGACAGAACCTTGTTGTAGAATTTCGTTTTATTCATAGAACTGTTGGAGAGATTGTTCCAATTATAACAAGTAAATGTCTTAGTGGACGACCAAAAATAAAAGAACGTGCTTTTGATATTCTTCTTATGTATATTGAAATCGATAAAAATGCTGAAATAGAAGAAGAATTAATTAAAGGTCTTGATAATAAAACACCGAAAATTGTTCAAGCTTGTCTTGAATTACTTCGACGAGCATTGAGGTAAACATTTTATTTTCTTCTAACTTCAACATATTGTATATTTCTTGTTCAAGTGAATTTGGTTCAAAAGTGCTTCCAATTAAACCATTCCTACCGAAAGTAATTCCATTACTCGAAGATCGAGACAAAACTGTGCGTGACGAAGCAAAACTATTACTTGTTGAGATCTATAGATGGGTTGGAAAGCAGACTCTCACGCCAATGATACAAAATGTGAAACCTATACAAGTATTGATTCGTATCTTTTTCTTTAATAGCCTGCATTTATGTATTATCCTTTTGCGTAATTAAGATGCAAGAACTGCAAACTGAATTCGATAAATTAGATTTAAATGGTGCTGATAAACCACGACAAACACGTTTTCTTCGTTCACAACAAAATGTTAAAAAAAAACAAGAACAAGAAGTTCCGTGTAGTGGTCCAAGTGCACCAGCAGCCGTTGATGACGTAGATACAGAAGGTTTGGATTTTAAGATGCAAATTTAACTTTAATTAAATGCGAACCTCTATTCGTAGCACCAGAAGAACTTGATCCGCTTGAAATGTTAGATGCTGCTAACATTCTTGATCGTTTATCAAAAGACTTCTTTGAAAAAATAGTAAATTTATTTAGAATCGATTTGTTGATTTTGTTTTGTTTGACTTTTTAGGAATCAAAACAATGGAAAGATCGAAAAGAAGTTCTCGATGATCTGTTAGCATTATTAACTCAAAATCCTAAATTAGCACCTGAGGCTGATTATTTCGAACTTGTTAAAGCACTATCTAAGGTTTGATTCAAAGAATTCGGTTGTTTACTGGAATAATACAGTCACATTTGTTTTATCTTTAGATTATTTCCAAAGATAGTAATGTACCAGTTGTTATTGTTACGGCAAAATGTATGACAGGACTAGCAAAAGGTTTAAGAAAAGCTTTCAAGAACCATACTATAAATGTAAATTTTAATCTTTGTTTACATTATTAGGGAGATTATTGATTTCATTTTGAATTCTAGGTTCTTGAAGTTTGTCTTGATCGATTTCGTGAAAAGAAACCAAATGTTCTCGAAGCATTACGTGAAACATGTGAAGCGGCTTATCCTGGAGTAGGTTATTTTACTTTTGTATTGCTGACAATTATTCATTATTATTAAACAAAATCTAAATGAAGTCTTAAAATTTACGAGAAAACAAATTGGTACATCATCGAGCATATTTCTAAAATGTTTAATTGTTCTCTTGTTAAAATTAGTTTTATTGCATCTACCATGACGATTTGTATATTTTTCTCGCGATTTCTCAGCTCAAATTTCCCATAATTGAGTTGGCCAGAAGTTCGATGCTGGCAAAAAAAATATCGAAAAAAATCTTCATCTCCCATCAAGCAAAGATTAAAATATAACTTTTCAAACCCTCATTATTACCTTAGATAAAAAAAAGCGCAAGTTCTGTGCTTAAAAGCAGTAGCTACATGGAAATTTGCATCTTCTTTTATTATTCTATTAAATATGTTTGTTTAGACTAATCTCGAACAAATGGCAGAAGTAGCTGTAGCTGTATTAGCACACAAAACACCTATTGTTCGGCAGTCTACACAACAATTTCTGACAAAATGTTTTGCAATGGCTACACAAACAACTCTACCAAAAAAAGTTTTGAAATTATATTTACCACCATTAATTAAAGTAGATCATATCAGATTTTAATTGTTAGGTAAATATTAAAAAATATATTCATATTAAAATTTTAGAATACAGGTGAAGCTGACGCAGGTGTTCGTGATAGTGCATTTGAATGTCTTGGAATGTTATGGAAATGTCTTGGAGAAAAACATGTTCTTCCACATGTCACTGACTTAGATGAGCTTAAACTAACCAAAGTAAGGAACGATTTTACTGGAAATAAACATATTTTGCAGGATGTTTTTTGTTATATTGTAGATAAAAGAATATGCTGAAAAAGCAGTTTTATTAAATGCACGTGGTGAACCTCGTCCACCGCCATCAGCTGCTCCACCACCACTAACTACGATTGTTAAAACGATCAAAGGTGGTGGTGCCGTTGTTGTCAAACCAGAAGTTATTGTAGCGACAAGAGAGGATGATGACGATGAACTACCTAATTCATCACCGCCACCTAAAGCCAGTACAGCTACTGTTAAAAAGAAACCTGTAGCAGGTGGTAAAGCTGGAGCTGGTGCTGCTGAAACAACAGATGACAAGAAAAAAGATACGAAAGGAAAGGTAAACATTCCTTGAGTTTCAATTGCTAAATAGTTTAGCCACTTTTGCAATCCACAAAAAGAAATATTTGTGAATATAGCAAGCTATACTGTTGCATGTTTTGTATTTTCTTAGGCGACGGTACCCCCGTCTGGTAAAACACCTCCAAATAATGCTACGGGTGGCGCTGCTTCAACTACAGTAAAAGGTGGTCGACCAGTTGCTGGAAAAGGTCGCCCATCAACGGCTCCATCTCCACCGAAACAAATCGCGCCAGAACCAGAATTGGCAAAAGCAACACAGGACGAAGATCTTCAACGTCCTGCTACTGCACATCGTATTCAATCGAAAATTGAAAAAAAACCAGGCCAATTTCAATTAGGACTTGATGATGATCATATGGATGCTCTACGTTTACCTGATCTAGTATCAAGTGAATTACCACACGATTTTGATCTGCCTGATTTACCACCCCGAACGTATGTGTTTCAAATGTTTTTACATTGTCCGAAAGCACAAAATTTATTTATTAATTTCAGTATAGCAACAACATCAATACCAGCTTCATTCTTAGCAGCATCGTCTGATTGTCGCCAATCAATCGATCTTGTTATCGCACTTATAGCTGATCATGAAGTTGCAAATAGTTTATCATCATTAGCGCAAATTGACGAAGTTCTTAACGATGCTAATAAATGTGTATATCTTGAACAACATGTAGATAAACTTCTACGTATGCTTTCAATGAAACTACGTATTGCACAACAAAATCATTTATATGATTCATCATTACCTAGTGATAGCGTTGAACGTTTATTTCGTGGAATATTATCTGTTTTACTCGATCTTTTCTCACGGCCACATCTTGCAAAATTAGCAACCCGTGATACATTAAAAGAATTACTTAATGTTCTCTTGCCATTTGTTGTTGTCACAATAACACCAACACCAACACCAACACCAACACCAACAAATCATAGTCATAATCTTGCATCGAGAATTGATGCAGCATCAAATGAAGATTTTATACGTATTGTTAATGTTATTGTCTTGAAAATTTTACAAAATGCACATATGACGAATGTTTTAACAGCATTAATACGTCTGTTGACAGAATGTTGTCTTCCAAATGATTTTTCAATTAATGATCCATTTGTTAAACTTGTACTTAAGGTATTTAGAATACAGGCCTATTAAAACTAAAGAAAAATGCTGATATTCGAAAGTAACAATTAATTTCTTAGATTTTTATGGAAAAATGTTCGATCGGTTTTTAAGATAGACATTTTGGCTAGAGTATTTCCCATGATATTTCCATGCTTACTTGAAAAATAAAAATTTACTTAATAAAATGTGAAGCATTCAAACATTGCACTTGTTAAGAAAAATTAATTTGTTTTTTTGAGGTTCCGAATTGCATGTTATGTTTTAAAATTCTTCTCCTTTTAGTGTCATTATCGTTTGGTTCGAATGTTTCCATTATCACTTAAAAATAATCCATTAGAAATTGATGCAACACAGATCTTAGTTGAAATTTCTTCTTTTCTGAAACAACTTCCATCACGTCGTTGGCAATCATCACCAAATAACGATTTTCCACTTCGTATCATAAAAACTTATCTTCAACAATTAGTCGATGAACGTCAACGTTCGATTCTTGATGATTTATCTCGTATACCCAATGATCAACAACCAATATCAGATGAAATGCGTCATTATATACATCGTAAATTAAAAGCAATAACTGTATCATCAACAAATAGTGAACAAGTAACACAACAACATCAAGTTATGTTGAAAACAATTTTTCAAAAATTTGCTCGTCGTGAACAAGTTAAAGTTGGTTTAGAAGAATTATATGATTTCAAACTACGTTTTCCAAATGTTGACATTAATCCATTTTTGGCAACAACTGCTGATGCTTTTCAAAAATTTATTCATGAAGGTTTAGCGCGTGTCCATACTCAACGTACAGCAGCAGCAGCTCTTAATGCTGCATCATCAACAACAACAACAACAAATTTAACGTCACCTTCTTCAACTATTCTTCGAGATAAAACACAAGCAACAACATCTATTCCAACACAAGCATCACCAAATTCATTCTATTCACAGTACGATGCACTTGAAGCAGGATGGAAAGAAATGAGCAAAAGCCGCTTTTCTAGCTTTTCTTCTGTCCTATTAAGTTGTTAGTTCAAATGAAGATTGACAATTTTTACTAGTCAATCGACTTTTCTATCTAATGCATCTTTTTAGCAAAAATATTATTGATTCACTTATCTGAAGAAAGCTTTAGAAAAATTAGATGCAACCACCTATTGACGTTAGAAGATTCTTCTTGGACTAGTTTTGAAACAATATCATGTCGAAGAGTAGAAATTGACATTTACTATGACTTATCCGACAACAAAAACAAATTAAATGAATCACAAAAAATCGAACTTTCTCTTAGACCCGATTAATACACACATTTTTTCATGGCGATAGTAATACTCGTTAAGAAGATATTATAAACCATACAGTTTCATCTCGTTTTGTTCAGGATTTAGTGTTTTTGAAAATAATTCAAACATATCTTTAAATTTAATGCTCTTCTTTTTTGTTTTTCTTTTAATTAAGATATGCGCAAATTCACGAAGAAAAACTACGTGCATTAAAAGAACAATTTGTTTGGATTGATACATTACCAACATCATCAAATATAGAACAGCAAAAAACGCTAGTTGATGATGATTTTGTTACAATTTATAATAAACGTATGGCAGCTATAAAAGAAAAATTTCGTGATCAACTTGGAAATACGTTTGCATCATCATCGACACCCATTGATCCTCAAATTTATGCACAACATCTTACTCAAATGCGACAACAATGTGGTCTCGCTCCAACGCCCATAACAACGGGACAGGTTACTGTTGTCTTTTTCTTTGTCAATTTTTTAAATCTTATATGCTTCTTTTGTACATTTAGGATGCATTTGATGTTGAGGTACATATCTTTTGTTTATTTATTGCATATAGAAGTTTTTTTTTTTTTTTTATAAATTCTATATAGGTTGAATCTCGTTTGAACAATGGTGGTGCAGCAGCTGGTAGCACAACTGGAGTTAATGCTAGATTGGCAGCTGCACGATCAAGTAAGACATCTGAGCCTCAAGTAGAATCATCTACATTTTCATCAGCACCCATCGATGCATCGGCACAACGTTCACGTGAATTACTTCGTCAACGACTTGAACGTGTTAAACAAGGCATTATTGAGTGATCTTTATTGTATATAAAAATTTCAAGACATTCTTCTATTCTATTTTTACATAATTCAATTATTTGGCTTGAGAAAACATATATGTATACAAAATTACAAAATGATCTCATATTGCTCTTTTTCTGTCTCGATATTATTTACTAATATTCATTTCTGCTTGTCTTATGAAGAAAATGTTCTTGTTTTCTTTTATTATCATCTTCTGCTGTCAGCAATAAATTCTTAGGAGGATGTGTGCTTCAAATATTAAAAAAAAACATAATAGCTAAAAGAAACATTAAAATTATTTTGTGATGATTCTCTGAGATTGTTACCATTGATCTGAACTATTAAAGTCCGAATTGACGATGAAAATTTCATCAATTTCTTCTTCATCTGACCTAAACTATTTTTGAAGTATTAAGCCTGCTGAAGAAGTTTCAGGTATATGAATTTCTGTGCGAAGAGCAGATGAAAGCTACGAAGCAACATAGCAGTGACTCGTTTTAATGAAACGTTGAGAATATCGAGTTGATTTTTAACACACATAAATAATCAAATTAATAGAAACTAGATGGTTTTTTAGTTTCATTGAAATATGGAAGATAATGCGAAGCTCTACTGGAATTTATTACGAAAAATCTTGAATTCGAAGCAATGCTACATACTTAGCCATACATTCTTCAAGAACGATTTGGTTTGAACGATTAACCATTTTTATGATTCATTATGGTAGATCAGTTGTAAACGAATGGACTAGCGTGGCTAACATATGTGGATGAGGTCATTTCAATTATCTCGAAATTAGAAAACTGTCAATTTCTTTCATTTTTGTCATTTTGAAACGATACTTCAGTGCGAATAGAGCTTCAGATTAAAGTTTCGAAAAAACAATTCGGAAGTTCTATTTCGATACTTTCACCTCTAGGTCAAACAAATTTACTTACAGTTTTCGAGATCATCGAGATACAATTTGATAAATTCTGATGAGTACGTCGAAAAGTAAGAAAGAACAAGTCAGAAAATGACGAGAACCCATGCGTATGTTGAGCTAAAAAGTTAGAAAAAAACTCGTGACGGGCTACGTGAATGCTTTGCTTCGCATCGCATTGAAAAGGTAAATTTCAATTCGTTTAGAATTTTTCTTTCTAACCATGGCTTTGACTTAAATTCAAAATCAAACAGCCACTACTCATCAACGACGAAGTTCATATCAAATAGTAATCCAATGAGGATTCTAGAAAAGTGCCAAATATTACTCAGCAAATAGCTCAGTTTATTGCAAAATTCGAAGCTACTTGTAAAGACATCCTTATATGCTGATGTATTTTTAAGAGATAAATTTGAATGTTTAATAGCAACATGATTTTCGGATACAAATGATACGTCATAAAACAGTATTTCTAGAAAAGAATTATCTTCATAGAATTCTTCTTGCATGAAAATGACGATCATTCAAAGAAAATACTTAATACTTCTAAAATGCTGTGAAACTATTTAATGTTCAATAAAAAATATTCTAACGCCCTTCATACATAATTACAATAATAACGTATTATTGTTTCTGGCTTCTGTTGACTTTTGATGGGTGAACCAAATACTTTATTGGATTGGTGTAATTGATTTTTTTAATACCAGCTTTATAACGAATAAATATCTTAAAATAAAAAATTATTCGATAACTTTTTTTGTGTTCATTTAAAAAATATTCGCAGTAATAGATTTCGTGCATAAAGCAATTGCAATCGAAAATATTTCATTTGTGCTACAGGCATTAATAAAAATAAAATAAACATAATAAATATTATTATTCCATAGAACTTGATCCATTCTAGTTCGGTTGATATTGTCAACGGCGACTGTAGAATTCGATTTCCATGTATAAGATAGGTATTTGGATTTTCATATAGAAATTCTGCATTCGTTTCATTACAACTTGTGTGCCAGCAATTTTGGATAAAATCTGAAAATTGAAACTTGTGCCAAATCTTTTTTCCCTCATCTATATTTTTAAATAAATATAAAAACAAGCCTAGATCATAGCCAAGTGCTCGTTGCGATTCAGTTAGAAAATCTTTCGAAAATAATTCAATGAATTGAACGAAACTTGATGACAAATGGTACAAAGCATTTCCATTAATATGAAAAAAATTTTGCCCAATAGATTCAAAACCACGATAAATCGATCCAGTCATCCACCATTGTGTTGAAATATACGATTCTCTAGTGTGACTATTGATTATTTGTTCGACAATTGCATCTAACCAATATGGCCGAATCGGTCGTGTATCAGGTTCCATGAGAAAAAAATGTGTATAACCATGATGACGTAGTGAAATATTACTCAATTGTTCGTTGAGAAATAATTTTTTCCACATAATAGCACTACCCATAGGATATGGATTCTCCTCTTCTGATAGATTTGCGGCAAAGATCCGAATATTTTTAAAACATCTATGCTCGTAATTTAATTGGCGAATTAAATAATCTAATAATGATGATGCTTGTTCATTATGATAAAAAATTAAATCAATTGATCTAAATGGACTTCGACAAGGCGAATAAATATTTTCAAACTCCAATTGATGAATTAAAGTGTTAATTTGGGATTGAATAAATGGAATAACAATGGCAAGATGAAATTGTTTTCGAATTGAATCAATATAATTGTATTTACCATTATTAGAACGAATAGAAAGTTTTTTATGTTTAGCAAAAAATTCATTTTTAACATGGATTAATGAAATATTTCCTTTTTGCCTATGTTTCGATGAAATTATTTCGATATTTTCATATAGTTTTAATAGTTTTTGTTGTCCTGTAGTCAAACCCATATTGCGCACAAATAGTTGACCATAATTTGGTGCATATCTATGAAGTGATCCAATTAAATTTTCTAGGTCCATAAATTCGGATGAATTACAAGTTGTTTCAAATTTTAATACAAATGAATTAACTAATATAAATGTATGCATAGTTAAAATATAAGAATACAGCATTTCAACATTAAATCATGAAACAAGCCAGTCTTTATTGAATATATCTAAACAATATATATATAATCATAAAAACTAGATTCACAAAGAAATAATGATTTCGCCTATACTATTAAAATTTTAGCATCATTTTATTCGTAACATTATAATTAGATATTTTCATTCTAATGAAAAACACATGAAGGGAACTGATATTTTCATTTTTATTAATTATTATATTAAAGATTATATCAGGTTTTCATCTGAATCAGCGCTGAAACCGGTTCAGAAAGTCAACTCGGTCGATAAATACCGGAAAAACATCGGTTGAAATTTTAAAATAACTATCTTCATTTAGCTCTATTTTTGTTAAAAAAATTTTTTATGAGTTTTTCTATGAAGTAGATATAATGAAATTATTCTATCAATATATATGTCGTGCCGAAGTTACACTCTTTGCCGAAGTTATAACTTCGACAAAATTTTTGCCGAAGTTACAACTTCGACGGACACTATTGTCGAAGTTATAACTTCGACGATTATTTTTGCCGAAGTTATAACTTCGGCAATACAACTTGCCGAAGTTAAACTTCGACAAGCAAATTTTGTCGAAGTTACTGTGAATGAGTTGATAAACATTAAACATTAAAAAATCAACNTATTAATTTGCTTCTATATTTCCTGCTAAGAACGTGACAGTAATTTACGTAGTTTTCATCATGTATATGTCGTGCCGAAGTTACACTCTTAGCCGAAGTTATAACTTCGGCAATACAACTTGCCGAAGTTAAACTTCGACAAGCAAATTTTGTCGAAGTTACTGTGAATGAGTTGATAAACATTAAACATTAAAAAATCAACGTAATTTTTTCGATATCAATATAAATAACTATTTTTTAATTCAATAGAGATAGTTTTATATATCTTTTTTGCTTTTACTTGAGTAAAACAAAAAAATTATTTTCAGGCAAACTCATCAAGGGATATATAGCATTTTTGTGAATTTAGAGCGATTAGTGTACTCCTGGTGTTTTTTTCAGTCGAATATTCAACTTGAAAACTAGTAGAGTAGATCAACGCAGTTTTTCACCCTCTACAAAATGATATGATGGTGAACTTTACCAGTAATGTCTTCACCAAATTATGTAGGGCTAAACCAGCTTCAATTTAACCATTAACTCATTCGCATCACTGCTGAAACTGATTCTATCAGTTTCTACCGTATTTTGCCTATCTGCAACAATCTTCAAGGAATCAACTCCACCAGTTGTTCTCAGATTTGCTGGAATTTCACCGGTTCGAGAGTAACTTATCTCCTACCCAGTCACACAAAAGTCTTCGAAAAACGCTTTAAAACACGTTAAAATTTCGTAAAAACGGCGTGTTTATGATTTCTGCGTTTTCTCATCTACATCTCTTAATAGATCTTCTTACGACGCACTACCTTAACCCTCTCCAGATAAATATGTGCTTCTTTAACACATGCGTATATAAAAAGTTTCAAAATTTGTGAACAATTTTTTAAAAGTCTGGGAAATATATACGTTATAGATTGCTAAAAAATAAAAAATTTGTTAGAAACTCTGTGAGAAAATTTAACCAAAAATTTTGCAAATTTTTTTCAAATTCTTTTTAAAGAAATATCTTTCTAGGATTAATTTTTCATAATTTATTTAAATATTAAAACAATCTTCAGAAATATATTGAAAAAAGTATGCATCATTTTTTAAAATGTCCTTGAAACTCTGTCAAAGTGTTTTTTTTAATATCTAAAAAAATAATTTTTGTTTCCGAAAAATTGTTTTTTAAATGCAAAATATTGCTATTTTTTTGATGAAAACTAAAAATGTAATAACGATTGTTCCTCTTAAATTTATGTCACCTTCAGGTTCCTATAAAATTTCTTTCGATTTAAGTAGTATTTTGTGGAACTCACATATATTTTCGAAGAAAATAGTGAGTGTAAGTCTAATTGTGAGATTTTTGCGGCTCCCCTGTACTTCACCCCCCCCCTCCCCATNGCAAATTTTTTGTGCAGTTCAGAAGCAAAATTTGATTGTAATCATAAACACAAGCAATAAATCTTAAATCTCATTTTATTTCACAGTAAAGAGAAATCAACGAAAGTGCGACAGAAGATCAATTTGGTTGGTCGATGTACTCTATTTTATTGATAGTGTTGTTTTATGTATCATACATACAGTTGTAAAAAGATGATTTGATAATAAAATTGGAAACGTATATCTTTTCTTTTCTACAGATTTGTTGATAGCTTTAATCGTATTTCAACAAGAATGTAAATTCTCTAAAATATATTTTCAAAATAC